GGGAAGAGATGGTTTAATGGATCTGGGCTGGAAGGCGAGTACAGCGGGTTGTTTAGGCCGATCGGTCGGGGACGATGGGCAGTGGGCACCTTCCGACATTCTACTACTGATACTGCGGGATCATTCTCAAACACGCCGCCGGCGGATGATTTGTCAAGAGGCCCAAACCTGAAACAATGAACTCTCGCAATTCCCAACTCGTTTTAACTTATTCAACTCTCCAACCCGCACCTTATCGCGCGCCCGCCCCATCCCCGCCGCCTATTCTTAGGGGAGGTTCCATGGTCCTCGGCAGGGAATCACTTGGTACGCGTGGAAAGAAGAGGGGGAAAAAAAATAAACAAAAAAAAAGAAGAAGAAAGGGAGAGGAGAAGAGCCATAAGAAATCGATCAACACCTCTGCCTTTCATTATTTCTCTTACTTGTAAGTGCAAGTTGAGAAAGCAGTTGTTGTCGGCTCCGCGGGGGTAACAATCGATTGAACGTCGGACCGGGCACCAACTAACTAACCCACCCTTCGCTCAGCCCGGAGATTTGCCAGGTATTGTTGTACTGTACCTACCTACTACTCATAGCCACTTCACCAGTCCACTTGGCCATTGGCACGTCATTCTGTCTTACAGTCGACCAGGCTTATAATGCCCCTTCTAGCATTCAAGGGGGCAGTTCTTCAGGTTGATCCTACCACGTCCTGACTCGCCAAGCTTTAGCTATGGTGGGGATGTCTTCTTGGACCCCCAGCCGGCCCTGTTCGATTCGCCATGAGGATCTTGCAAGAACAGTAGATTCGATTCGTACTAACCCTGATAGCTATCACCCAGTAAGTCGGTGACGAGAAAGGGGTATCCCAGGCACGATTAGACTATGTACATAACAATCTACTGTAACCTAGTACGGAGTGCAGTACCTGGATTATCTACTATCAATCCAGCCTGTCTAATGGCAACGCATGCGTTTCATTAAGGTTCACCCTACCCTCGTATATATATCTATATATATAATTAGGTGTTGACGTGTGGTCATTTCGGCCTCGATAACAAGGGATGTACTTAGTAGTCTTTTTCCAGAAAACCCCACACTGTCTGGCTTGAACATGCGAAAAGGGGGACATCCTCTCCGTAGGACAGGTTTCTATATCGGGTTCATGATGCACCCTGAGTAACGATGCAGGTGGGGGTTAGAACACTCTTGAATCTCTTCCAAGTAATCAGACATGTCTGACATGTCTGCGCATCCTGTCAGCGTCAGAAGATCAGAGCGAAGTGTTTCACCTCTAGGCTTCAATTAAAGCCATCATTTCCCCGTGAGTTTCGGGACAATTTATAGGTCTATGGGCTTGTGATCACATATATGTATGCGCTGTACTCCGTACCAACTCCAGTTCTTTTCCTTTTCCCCTCACCGGTCTTGCAGTGGGCAATTTCGAGTGCTGGTAGAAAAACGGAAATCATTAATCCTCCCCATTGATGTCCCCATCAAATCTCCTCGCCAACTGACCCAAATGAGGAGACGCTTCGAGTGCGCTGGCGGATCTGATCACCGTAAGTGACCATCTCCGCACCAGTGGGGATGGCGGAGTCGCTTGCTCGCAGAGGAAGGATGTACAGTACGCACGGGGACAGTGATTAGCTGCGCGCCAGGACTGCCAACCGGGACAATGCAGCTGCGACTGCGACCGTACTCGTGTAGGTCTGTCTATCTGAGAGACCTGCAGCATGTGAATCTGAGGCGGGGAAAGATTCCCCGAACAAGTGATGATGACCATCACTGCTCAGGATACGTAGAACCCAGTGCACAGGTACAGTACATACAGTACATACAGTACTTCGTACAGTACTCCGTACAAGTAAAGTAGGGTTTCCGGTCGCCGGTCGGGGTGTTGCTCCTACCACGTGACCGACCTTTTGCAAAACCCCCTCATGTCGACCCCACAGTTTTTCTTCCCCGCTCGCCTGTAATCCCATCAAAAAGGACATGGTCCAATTCCACGGCCATTCGCCATGGAGGACGAAAGAGCCAACCCAGGCAAAGTGAGGAAGAAGAGTGCCCCAGCTCATCGCAAGTCTCTGTCTTGTGAATATTGCAGCAGATCATTTGCGCGCCTGGAACATCTTCAGCGCCATCTCCGCACCCGTTGAGTAACCCCCTCTCGAACTCTCCTCAGGAGGCTTTTGCTCGTCTGCAAATGAGATTCTGACTCTCTGATCCCATAGATACCAAGGAGAAGCCTTTCTCATGTGATATATGCTCCAAATCATTTGCTAGAAGGTATACTTGTCATCCCCGTGGCATCCAGGTTCATGCGCGCTAATATGGGGGAAATTATGATAGTGACCTGCTCGTACGACACGAGCGGCTAGTCCACCCTGCGGAAACTGCCGCCGGTCGAGATCACCGCACACAGAACAACAACCAGGATGTTCCTCAGACGCCCTCTTCTATAATTCAGCCTGCTCATCATGAGTCTCGTATGCTAGAGCTTGCCGACGCTGTCCCACTGCACACGCAACCGATTCCACAGCCTCCGCCAGAAGTGCAGGTACAAGCTCCTCCCATAGTGGAAACAACTCATTTCAATCCATCGTGGGGGTATGACCTGAACCTTCTCTCGCATGCTGCGAGTCATGTTGCTCTTGAGGGTGAACAGGAGAGTCTCGAGTCGTTACGGAAATCCTCGCAAAACGTGGCGCCTCCTCAGCCGCTCGCCCAAATTCCGGAAAGAGCGATAACTGATAATTATGGCGTGGAACCCTCGATCTTGGACCTTGCTGATCTAGGTGACCCAGTTCAAGACTTCACCGTCTTTTTGGAGAGTGTGGGACTCTCATCAGACTGGGACTCCGGGGTATTCTCCTCTGTGGAAGAGCCGATGTTGCCGACCACACTTCCCATGGAGACCAAGCCGTCTGTTCGCGAGATGGGGAGGCTCGGTCCGGAGCTTCACAGTGACCCACGAACAGCCGCAGACGACCCACCATCGTTCTCGAACTTTGGGTCCCGATTACCATCCTTGCAACCAGAACCGCATGAAGTGGATGATCGCCTTGGTTTCGCGGATGAGGGACCTCGCGCCGCGTGGGATATAACCAATGCTGACCGTCAAGTCTTTGTCTCTAAACTTGAGGCATTTGCTTATATACTGCCCAAGAACTTTGTCCCACCCTCAAGGCACGCTTTGTCGCGCTTCTTTGCGGGCTATATCAACGGATTGAACGAACACCTCCCCTTTATTCATGTTCCCACCCTTTCTGTCGCAAAATGCTCTCCAGAGCTTACTCTTGCATTGGCAGCCGCGGGCTCTCATTATCGCTTCGAAAACAACCGAGGGATCGAGCTATTCCATGCGGCAAAAGCCATCCTGCTTCAGCGTCTTCATAGAAGAGACAGCAAGCAAGTCGCCTGTCCGACATGGAACTATTTATCACCGGGATCGGGTTTCCATACCTCTCGTGACTCTTCCACCACATCTAACCATGCCAGTAGCCCGTTTCAGCAACACCATCAACCCCAATCTCATCATCACCATCACCATCACACCCCGTATCCAGCAGATCCCTCGGGTTACTCGGCAGAGGACTCAGATGCCCATATGGAAGTCATCCGAACCTTCCTTTTGCTCACTGTTTTCGCTTCTTGGGAAAGACATCCCGAATTACTGAGGGAAATACTCTCGCTTCAGAGCACTCTGGCGAGACTGGTCAGAGAGCATGGTCTGTCAGAGCCACCTCCTAGCCCAGATCCTAATAACTGGGAAGAGTGGGTCCGGAGAGAAGGTAACCGACGCACGAAACTCATCGTGTATTGTTTCTTCAACCTACATTCTATTATGTACAACATCCCCCCTCTGATTCTGAATGCGGAGTTGAAATTGAACATGCCGTGCTCGCATGATGTCTGGAAAGCGACCAACGCGGCTCAGTGGCGGCGGGTGGCCCGCATACGACATGGGTCTGACGTCCCCTTCCAGGAGGCTTTTGCTAAATTGTTCCTCAAGTCGAATATGTCGGGCCCTACCGCACCCATATCCCCCCTCGGAAACTATATTCTCATCCACGCTCTCATCCAGCAGATATTCTTTGCACGCCAGCTCTGTCTCTCTGCACCGACTATGCAGGGTACCAGCTTGAGGGGCGAAGATCTGACTGTCCTGGATAATTCTTTGAGCGCCTGGAAGGCACTATGGAAACGCACTCCCGAGTCCAGCATCGATCCACAGAACCCGGCAGGACCAATCGCATTCACATCGACCGCTCTTCTGGGCCTCGCATATATTCGATTGCATGTGGACCTGGGACCCTGCCGGCGCCTCATGACGCAGGATCCAGGCCAGATAGCAAGGGCCCTCAGTGAATCGCCCCTCATAGCTCGGAGTCCTCGTCTAATCATGGCTCTGCTACATTCTGCTCACGCGCTTTCGATTCCGGTGCGTCTAGGCATCGACTTCGTCGCCAGAACCCACTCTTTCTTCTGGAGCATCCAACATTCCCTCTGTAGTTTGGAATGTGCCTTTCTTCTCAGCCGATGGCTGCTCTCAATACCAGTGACCCATGCTGAGCAAAGGCTCTCAGACCACGAGCGGAAGTTACTTCTCTGGATCAAGAGCATGATGGATGAAACCGACATGGCTGTCGATCCGCCGGGAGCACCGGATATGGATTTCATTGCCAATCCATTCAAAGCAAAGCAGCTGAGTGTGGCGATCGTTCGCGTGTGGGCACGAACTTTCAAGGGCAACACCAGCTGGGCCATAGTAGATCTGGTTGGTTCAAGCCTAGATGCCTATGCTGATCTTCTTGAAACCACACCATAACCGTCTCACGCCGTGGAATCGCTATGGGACACTCCAGCGTCCCTTGACTTGGACTGGACATTGGCTTGCCACCAAAGGCCCCCGAACCATAGCGACGGGGTTCGGGCTCCCGAATCCTAGATTGTCATGTTGCTCCTTTGGCTATTCTACTGGGAACGATATATCATGTTGCTGTATACCCACGCCGCTCGAAAATCTTCATATTCCCTTATTACCCCTGTATATAGATAGGTTATGATTTGCTATGTCTTTTGGAGCAGAGCGAACTCCTGCGCCATTGCCACTTGCCGTGACATGGATCTCATTCTGCCGACTATGGCAGGTGCTTTCCGGCACGGGAGGGAGTCTTCAGGCTCCGATAACACGAAAGAACAGAAACGTCATCGATGCTCTTCCCCGCATGTGATAGTTGCTGCAGGTCCTTCTGGAGAGTCCCTTATGCTATGTGACCCGGTTTCCAATTTGAGCAAGGCGCCAAAAAAAATTTGAGTCATTGAATGATCCGGCGTCGGAACACCGCGAAGAATCACAGATTCTGTCCGTTTGCCTGTTTCGATCTTCCAAGTAGGACGTAAGCTATATACGGAGCTACTGCAAGGTCAAGATCTCCTTCCAACCTTGCCATGGTTCCTCGTAACACTGGATGGCACGAATCGCAGAGCAGACATGGACTTCTCCAGCTCGACGATCTCCATCTCGTCGGAGACCGCGGGGGTCGCAAGTGTCGGTTGCACCCCCGCGTTCGCACTCGAAAAGGACCCAGAAGTCGGTCTGTTCCTCAGACGCCCTTCCTGCGGCGAGGCGGGAGTAGTCGATAGACGGCGCCGGTGTGTCTTGGTCGGCCGCAACAACGAGGTCTGTTTATCAATCCCATCATTGACTATGTAGAAATTGTATGTCTGCACGTCCGTTTGAGAATCAGAAAAGAAAAGCCGTAGTACGCAAACGACAGGAAGGGCAAACGCTCAGACCTTAGGAAACATGTGCTTGTCGATGAGGTGCATTCTGCGTTTCTGAGGAGTCGAGCACTTGCGCTCGCAGTCCTCGATGAAGCACCCATACTGGAATCCCCCAACAGCAATGCAGGGTCAGCGATTAGGCCAGACACACGGTCAGGTTTAGGTCACGGGAATGGAGGTCCTCCTACAGTCTTCTCGCCTCGTTCGCGTCGCGTCGCGACGATGGCGTCATGGTTCTCTTCAATGTGAAGGGTCAGAAAACGATCCGTGGGGAAATTCTTCCCACATTGGGAGCAGCGGTTGACATGTGACTGCCGGTAATGGACCTCGTAATCGTCGTAGGAGGCGAAGGCGATGGTCTCGCGGTGCGGTGGGAGGGAGCAGTGCATGACTTCAGCAACCGGAGCGGCGGTGTCTGGCAAGTGCACCTTGGAGCGTCCGAGAGAGGGCGCGGTGGAGGATGCTGGGGATGCTGGCCACGACGACCCCCCATCCTCCTCGGACGACAACAGATCGGCGGCGGCGGGCGAGTCGGAGTCGCTGCGTACGCGTTTGGTGGACATGCTGGCCGAACTTGCTGTCCTGCGTTTTGAGGAGAGAAGATGCAACAGTGATAGGTCAGTTGCGAGGTAATAGTTCACTCTGCAGCAATGGCGTGACACTTGGACCATCCATTGGTGGAGGAGGTCAATCTTTCTGCCTGTGCAGATGGGTTAGAGACTAGGTATTGTTGTTGGGAGCGGAGTCGGTACTTACATGATTATCTAAAGATAGAGCAGTGAGTCTGGGAGGAGCTGCCGGTCTTTTGACCATGTATCTCCGAGTCGAAAGTAATTAAGGTAGATGGAGTTCCTAACATACAAGCTGGAGATGTTACCTGGTATATAGTAATGGAAGTAGGAAGCAGCCCGGCCACGGCCGGTTCTATTGGCTGGATAGGCCTCACCGCCCGCGCATTCATTCTAGCATTGATTTTGTCTGCCTCGCAAAGAAAAGTTCCCCGTCATAAAGTTCTCATGGGATTTTCCCTTCCAGCGAGCGGTGGCCTTCAACCCCTCCGTTGTTCGTCCTGAATTGGATTTATCAACACCCTCCGTCTGGAGCTCCTTATAACTTTCTTTTCTTTTCACTGCTTCTTTTATGTGTGCTGCTGCCAATCGGGGTTACTAATTCACAACCCCCTCCTCTTCCCTGACGTTCTTGAAATTGCATACCGTCCCCGCTCACCGCGCTCGTTCTGTATATACTATCACTAACTGATGGATCGTTCACTGCCCTTGTCGCCCGCACACTCTCAACCAGCCATAGCCATCTGACGGCGAAGTCAACGGTGGAGGTGAAGCGGGCTCCGGTGATCTCATCTCCTGAGCATGGCGTCCGCGTTCCAGGATACGTGGCAGTCAGTCCCCTCCCCCTCCGCGTCGGACTAATCCCCATTGACGTTGCTAATACTTGCATCGCACAGAACTGCGCTCAATCTCGAAAAAGAGCTTCTGCAGAGCCTTGCCGAAAAAGAGCCCACGTTTGTCGAAATCTCCCATCACCTGTCGGAGTCAGTTCTGAATTTCCTTCCCGCCGTCCTCCTGTTGCGCGCAAAACTGATCTGACCCGTTGTCTTGTCATCCTCGTCCGTCGCAGACTTCGCTCCGCTTGCCAAAATGCTATTCTTCAGGACCTCGACGCCGCCCGCGCCGTGGATGTCGAAGGACGCCTCTGGGATAGTCATCTCAAAATTAACACCCGATTCCGTAAATTGCTGTCTCGCGTGAGTCCTACGGTGCGCCCTGTCCGCTTCCGTCTCTAATCCCTGATGTGCGATGGCAGTTCCGCGAGGAAAACGGGAAGAAGAAGAAACCGGTAGAGAAACGGAAGCTCGAGAAGCACTACCTTGAATTCATCAAATCCAGTCAGCGATTTTATCGAGGCTACATCCAACAATTGTCCTCCCATGTCGGTGGGATTCCGGAGCTGGAAAAGGTTGCCCGGAAATTCAATTTCGACAGTGAGCAAACTGCCGGTCCCGTCAACTTTGGCGAACCCACCGTGTTCTGGAGTCTAAACCCTTCACAGATCTGTCGGCGGAGCCGCCCTTACAACCTACGGAAGCCCTCAGAAAGCGGATCCTTCAATCATGCCATGCGACCTTGATCCGCCTAGGCGATCTTTCCCGTTATCGCGAGACCGAGTTGGTCACCAAGGAGCGCAATTGGGGCCCCGCGATTGGCTATTATGACCTGGCTACTCTGATCTACCCAGCCTCTGGCGCGTCGCATAACCAGCTGGCAGTCATTGCATTGGCTGATGGCAATCACCTTCGAGCTACGTATCATTTGTATAGGGCCCTAGCGGCCCAGGAGCCGCACCCGTCAGCTAAGGGTAACCTGGAGATCGAGTTTAGGAAAGTCATGAATGCATGGGCTAAGCGGGAGCTGATCCGTCCCGAAGATGCTGGGATTCCCGGCAAGGCATTGGCTCCTTGGTTTGTATATCTGCATGCGCAATGTTACAAGGGTATCGATTTCCCCGAGCATGACGAGCTGGAGAGCGAAGTACTCAATCAACTCGCTGTTGACTTGAAGGAACGCTCGCTCGAAGGCACTTTACAAAAATTTGTTTTGATCAACATCAGCGCAGAAGAATTCTCCAGGTTACGCTCGAATGGTAAGTCTCCTAATGACGTAGATGTCCAAGTGTCATGCACTGAACCAAGATTTAGAAGAGTCCGTGTCCAATGCGCGCGCTTTCTTTCAGCGGATCAATGTGAAGACGTTCTTCACCCTGCTTCAGATTCTTCTTGCAGAAGTAGAGCGATTTGCGGTCGAAGACTCGAGCAACAAGGACGCGCAGACCGGTCCTGACAAGGTCACTGTGGTCGCTCGTCGGGTTCTCCCCGCACTCCGAAACTACAGCTCCTGGTTACTCACGGTCAGCCACTTGCTAGCAGCGCATAAACAAGAAAAGGATACACCTCTGGCGGTTCAAATCACGGAGTTTTGGAAGATATACGCCAACACATTGACTCTTCTGGCCTCAACTTTCGACGTAGTGCATCTTCCCGAAATCGACTATCTCTTGGAAGAAGATGAAGAGACTCTGGCCTTTGCGCCCCTGAGCAAAGACACAACTTCTCGCAGATACCTGGGTTCCAACGGTCAACAGAAGCCTCGAATGAATGACCCAGGTGTGGAACGTAATCATCCCAACATGGAAATGCTTTACCGAATCCGCGAGTTTGTGATCGATGGCTTGGATTTGGTAGTCAGCAATAAGATTCCCATCGCACTCGTTGATGACGAAGACAAGAAGACTTTCATCTATAAGGAAGAAGACCTCCCTTCGCAGTTTTTTGCGAGTCCCCCGGGGCACAATCATACGCTGTCCTCCGCGAGTGTTGAGCGGGACGAAATACAACAAGCGAACCGTGATGTCAACCAGGCCCCAGATGCTCCGAGTGTTTACGGTGGATCGCAGTCGGCATCGATGTCTGCTAGTATGGACCGCATACTCGAAGGCGTGGAACGTTTGGTCGAGTCGGACACGTACGAGAACGCTCCGAGCGTGCCAGAAAATCTGACTCTTCCGCAAAGTGCTAGCCGGCTGCGGCCATCAAGTCAGTACTTTGATCCGAGCACGGAAACAATCTTCCGCGAGGATTTTCTTCCTCGGCAGACTCCGGTTGCCCCTCCAGGACTTCCACCGCCCGTGGCCAGCGGCTCGGTCCCTCTTGCGCGTGTTTCGTCATCCCAGTCCTATACTGCTCGACCTGCGCTTCCCAGCATCCCCAGCATCTGGAACACAACCCTATCTTCCAGCCTCGGTGGTGATGCTCCCTCTCCTCGGACCCCTCCCGGCCTCGGACATCAGTACCCAACTCATTCACTGTCGGGAAGCATCGGCAGCCCGTCGAGTCACTACCCATCCCACGAGTCACTTGCGAACGAGCTATTGCTTCGCCAGAGTCTGATGAACCAAGTTCCAGCCGCTGGATACCTTCACCGCATTCCCGGCTCAGGCACGGTCCCCTCTTCCTGGATACCCTCCTCGAGTCCATCAACGCAGAGCCACCGGCTTTCCGGTCTTGCATGGGACCGAGCACTTCTAGACACGGGTGTCAGCGGGGGATCGATCGCTCTTCCCAACATCCAACCGTCGGCATCGGCACCGAACATCAGCTCCCCTAGCGGTTTAGTCAACTCATCGTGGGCCAATGATGCCTTCCTTGCCAGCACCTTGTCCTCCGGTGCAGGCTACCCTAGCTCTTCTGGCTTCAACAGCAGTGCCCGCCAATCTTCTCCACAGTACGGTGCTATTGGTCAGAATAGCACTCGCTATGGTCACGGCGGTTGATCTTGTCGACATGCTTCGTCTCGTAGATGAATCGCTATGACTTTTTCTGTCTGTCCAATTCTGCCAGTTATGCGTATTGAGAACAGCGAATGACAGCGGGTTCCCAACAACCTCAACGTTCCTGTCTGTCTCTCTTCTCTGCTATCTTCTCTGCTAGATCCTTTTGGTCGCAGATATACGTGTGGTATCTCCGCACATATCCGCAGACCTGAAATGGACAGAGAGACGAAGCAGATGAACGATGGAATGAATAACCGAATTCTTAGTATGGATAGTGGCTGCGATTGAGCCTGGGAGGCAGACAGGACATTGGGCGACTCGCAATACATAGCCACTGCAATCGTCCAACTCTCCTCGTTGCTATAGCTATAGATTCAGCTCAAGCCAGGTTGTGGGAGTGGTCGAACCACCATGCACGGGCGTCCTTGGTCGGTCTGCTTCCAATGTGTGAAGGAGGGAGAAGAGCTGGAGGGTGCAAGCATCAGGTTATTCGGGTTTCTCCGTATCGCGTTACCATTTCCATACACTAAGCTTGATCTCCCGAGCCCTCTGGGGCTGGATGGATACTAGCGCCGATGGCAGGCAACCTTGAAGATGTATCGAGCTGGTTTCTAGTTTCAAATCGTACTGTCATACTCAAATCACATACTCAGTCATTTCGGACTCGGATCGCTGTTCTCGATTTACGCTGCTCCGTTCAAATGTGTCTATTCCCAGCCTTGGCTGCACAAGGCCAATGGATTTGAAGCGGGACTTTTACCACCTGATATGACACACACAAATCGTGTTTTCACGGTCTTATGTTATCTATAGCTGAGGAATAGCATGTAGTCTCATCATCATAGTTCGTTGTTGAGAACGTTCATCCGCCCAATTCTGGTCCATCTATTATTGAACTTCCATCAGAGAGAGGCACCTTTCACAAAACATTTCATTGAAGATTTGGAAAAGAAAAAAGAAAAGTAGGAAAGAAATGGTCAAAGACGTTAAGTCATCGACAGAAAAATTGGGTATAGAAGGTTGAATCCTAAACTAGAAAGGAACAGATTTTTTGTTTAAACTCGGTGGTTGGCCCATAGACATATTCATTTCATGTCCTCAGTCCCGTGATGTCGGACGGGACCTTGATTTAGTATGACTGCGTGGGAGGAGATTTTAGTTGGAGGGGGTGTAGGTCTGCTTGGGGAAGGGGAAGCTAGACGTGAAGAATGGACGTTAGCCTATCACTCGGACCTTGTCGGCTAGGTCGAAAAACTTACGAAGGTCCCAGCTCCTGGATGCTCAGGGAAGCGAGCCACTGGCCGAGATCGATGCTCTCCTCAAGGGGCTTGCCCTGGACAACACCGGCGCAGAAACCACCAGCAAAGGCATCACTATAGAAGAATCAGATACAAATTCACAGGGCAGAAGTCTCGGTTTACTCACCCAGCACCGTTGGTGTCGTTGATGCTGCTCTTGGGGATCTCGCGGACGGGGAACTGCTTGACCTCGACTTCACCGTTGGGCTTGACGGTGGCAGCGACGGTGGGGTCGGTGCCCTGGGTCACGATGGCAACGCGGGGACGGCTGGTGTTCTTCTTGGGGAGCTGAGCCAGCTTCTTGGCGATCTCAACAACATCGTCGGTGCCCCATTCGTGGCTCTCGGCGTAGGAACGAGCCTCGGTCTCGTTGCAGAAGGTGTAGTCGGTGTAGGGCAAGACGCTGTCGAGCTGCTCCTTGAAGAATTGGGGAATGAAAGGAGCCGAGAGGGAGAGCATGAAGACCTTGTTCTTGGCGGCAGCCTCCTCACCCAGAGCCTGGATGGCAGGAACGCTGACGGTCAAGTGGTAGCCACCGACATAGTAGAACTGGGCCTTCTCGACGAGAGACCAGACGTGGGGCTGCTTCAGGTGGTCAAGCTTGTACTCGTTGGCGGCAGCAAGGTGGGTGCACATGCTACGGTTGTGGCCGGTGATGATGACACCGCACTTGCCGGTGGGCTGGACCTCATCGATGCGGTACTCGGTGTGGACACCAGCCTTGGCGCAGGCCTCCTTCAGGATGTCGGCGTACTTGTCCTTGCCGACACAGCCAATGTACATGACGGAGTTCTCGGGAAGGATGTACTAAATCCGCCTGGCGGTCAGTAAATCGTCTCGGACTCCGGATGGAGAATATGATGAGGCTCATACCTGAGCACCACGAGCAGTGTTCTGGGCGGCACCACCAGCAATGAGCTTGGCATCAAGACCGAGGAGCTCCTCATACAGGCCCATGTGCTTATCTTCGGCGAGGATAGCATCGTTGTCCTTCAGGCCATACTTCTCCAGGAGAGCGGCATCACTGTGCGGGGATAAGCGTCAGCAAGGCTTGACTTTTGCAATGAAAAACTAAATAGAAGGAATGAGTCGATAAGAGATAAGTGACATACCCGACTGCCTGGATATCTGCATAGCTCATGAAGTTGAGGTTAGCTTGAGCCTGGGAACAAGCCCGAATAGTGGGGGAAACGGAGTAGATGGAGGGGAGGAAGATCTCACGCACCCAGGAGGGGGTTCTCGAGACACAACAAAGGGTAACCCTGAGGAGCAGCCATTGTGACAGAGGGAGGTGAAGTATGGGATGAATTGGAAGGGCAAGAAGAGGTTTAGGGGGTGAGAGAGAGGGGAGAGGGAGGGGGGAGAGAGAGAGAGAGGATGAGAGGGCGTTCGGAGTACTTAAACTGACTTAAACTGACTTAAACTGACTGATGGGCGGAGGAGGGGCCGGCGGAGTCTGATTGGGCCGAGCAAGGGAGTTCCTCCGGCCTCCGACCTTCGATTCAACTTGTCCGACGGAGAGCTTGATTACCTGCACTGCATATCAGCACTCACTTAACTTACTGTCCGGTTTATTGCTTCATATAAAGTTCCTCTCCATCGCAAACACACAAAGTACTTTAAGTACCAATCACACCACCACAATGACCGACCCTATCCTCCAAATCCCCGAGGTCATCCAGACGGCCTCCATCAACCGAAACCCCTCGCCCGACCACGACGTCAACCCGCCGACCGCAGCCTCCGAAAAGCAGCCCGTGGCTGAAGATGCTCTCTCCGAAGCTGGCAGCATCCCCTCCGATATCGTCGACCCTCGTCATATGGTCAGACCGGCCACCCGGCGCCATAATTTTCCCCCACTGCCCGACCTGCGCTTCGAACAGAGCTATCTTGCCAGCTTGCGTGGCGCCGATACCTGGGGACGAGTTGCGTGGATCACCATCAGAGACCAGGTGAGTACCTTCGTCTCTCAATTCCCAGAAAAGAAGCAGTTCTGCTGGCGGGATGTTCTCCAGTCAAAGTCAAAGTCAAAGCCAGGTTGAATCTCCCGCTCACCTTTCTTCCTTCTTCCTACAGGTCCTCCTTCCTCTGATGCAGGGTACGCTCTGGACGCTGGCCCTCTCCGGCTGGCGCTTCTGGAACCGCAACGCCTCCCTCAGCGGACAGACTCTGGGCAGCAGAATCCGTCGATGGTGGTACGAGGTCAACAACTGGAAGCTCCCTCCTCTGGGCTCGGCCAGAGATCCCCGGGTTGCCGCCAAGGTAGATGACGTGAGTGATTTCTCCCCCTCAGTCTGCCCCCGTTTCTGCACGAAACCCTTTACCGGATTTCCTGGGACCCTCTGACATTCTCGGAGTTTCTGCAGTTCTACACGGCCCAGTTCTCTAATGCCGTCTGAATGCTTTGGACACTTTTTGACTGCGACCAAGTTGTCTGAAGACTGCGTTTGTTCATTGAGAGGGGTCTTTTTTTCTTGCATTTCGGGTGTTTAGCGTACGGCGTTTGAATGTTATTAGGAAGCGGTGGATTCATGAGCATACCCTTTCCCCCCCCCCCCCTTCTTTTGACATTGCCAACTGGTCGTTCCATCCGACGAGCCCTGGAGGTTTATGCCCGTGGTGTCCCGCTTCCCGAGGCTTACTGGCTTGTCTTGTTGGCTAAATTATGCAATCTGTAGTTGTAGGTGTATTCATGTATATATTGCATAAATGTCCCAGCTCCGTGTTCTTGGACGGCGACTCAATCCATACTGGCATGTAGAGAGTAGAGCAACGTAAAGAGAGCCCGTCCCGGACAAAGGACACTCACACACTAGATGTAAGCATTAACATAGATCATCTTATTTATGAATTATGTATTCTTTTTGCACGCCCCACGCCACTCAAAATTCGTGATTCACAATGCTACCTCCCCAGATTGACCCCGTCCATGGATAGAGAGAAAAACGCCTAACAGATAGATCCCGTGTTTTGACCCGTATAGTTGACAGTTGACAATTGACCAAAGGGAACGCTCTCGCAAATAATATTACCAGTGGTGAAGATAAAAAAAATGGTTTCTCTGCTAAAGATAGCCTCTTGATAGCTCTAGTATCACTTGAAGGTGCTGCTGCTTATTGGATAGTTTCGCCCGTGACTTATACTGAAGCCTTACGCTCAAGGGTATTGGTATGGGTACCAGTGCTGTTCTGCTCCAAGGGAGCAGCCGAACTGGTTGCGGTGATCGGCTTCGTGCCAGATGGCTCGGTCCCTTGGGATGGTGAATGAGCATGCGGTGGGTTGCCGGAAGATTGACTCAAGCCTTCGTGCTTGGTCGCGGAATGTTCCTCCGACGGTCGTTCAGCAGGGTCTGCCGAGCTGCTCGCCTCCTTGCCTTTGTCCTTGTTGTATCGGAGCTGCACCACCAGGCTGGGGGGCTCGCCGTTCGCAACTTCTTCATCGCCGCTCGCTTCCTCTTCGTCATCGCCTTCAAAGTCGTTGTCCTCTTCCTCCTCGCCGCCTTGCCATTCGTTACCGCTCGACTGCGCACCAGCCGAGCCTTCCTCCATCTCCTCATCCATATCGTAGTCGGTATAACCATTGGCCCGGTTCGCCCTCGATCTCGTGGGCCGGCCCTCGTCGCCGGTCGGGGCATCGTCACGTTGCCCGGCGAGCAAGGACTCGCCGTACAGTCCGCCCGCGCGAGATCGTATTTGTCGGCCACTGGCTGTGTATCTGGGGCCCGCTGGCTCTACGGGAGTAGACACCCCCGAGGTATTTCGTGTCGAGCGTCGCGTCGAAGGAAGGCCGTCGGAGAAGATGTCTTCGTCGTCGGAGTAGGTGTATTTCAATTTCTTGCCACGAGTGCGGCCTTCGTAGAGGGAGAAGCCCGGCTCGGGGCGAGCAAATTGTGCTTTCCGAGCGATCCGGTAGTCGCGACGTTTGCGTTTCTGTTGCATGATGAGCGCAGGTCGTTGGCCCCCGGGGGGGGCGACCGAGACTTACCTCCTCTGATCCTTCAAACCGAGGGATGGAGTTGCGGATCTTCTCGCTCAGCTTCTTGGAGTGAATATTCTTCTCCTCGTCGAGCTTGTCCGCGATGACCTTCAGCTCCGGGATGCTCCCCGCCACACTCCACCAGGTATTGGTTTTTAGGGCCGGGTTGCTCTCGCGGTATAGTCGGAAGTGGGTGTCATCCAGGCCTTCAATAAGCCAGTATCGACGCTTGAGGCCGTCGCGACCCCACGGCTGGACGGAGAGCGGTTGGTTGAGGTCGTCCTCGTGGCGTGCTTGCTTGTAGGATTCTTTGATCTTGGCTTGGACGGCGTCGGAGGAGGAAAGGGACCAGAGGATCAACGATTTGAGTAGTAGCAACTAATGTGTGTCAGTAAGGTTCTGCTGGGCAATGCGACCGCGCGACATACGCGTTCTTCCGGCTTCATGGTTGTGAAGTTGTTGCCCCCGTGAAGAGGGTTCTTGCCTTGCCAAGCCCTAGGCCATTGGGGGGCATGCGTCTGGATCGCCTCCTCCAAGGGACGCGTGTAGTGATTCCGACTGCGCATTTTTCACAGAATGTTAGTCTTCTGTCTGCACCGGAAGATTCAGATTGTAGGTGGTGATATCCGTCCTGTCGGACACTTCCATGGAGCGGGTCTGGGTCGCGGGCGGCGGTCATACTCCACATCTTTCTTCCTATTTAACACCAATCCTAGCAATGCACAAAGCAGTCGTTCAATGTGATCGCCGGGGGTGCTCTCGGCGACACCTCTCTCAATATCCTGTGGTCCAAAGTGTGGTGTCGATCGCGGGAATACATCATGGAAACGCGCGCGAAACATCACAATGAACTAGGAATTGCGACAAGTCAGCACACTGGACCCCGGAGACGTGGACAACGCGTTAAAAATGCTTCGAGGAGCTCCAAGCAGGCCAGCATTTCAGTGAGTCACCTACTGCAATATCGGAGTTGTCTGCTAGCACATATTCATGGGGGGGTGAGGGCTCCCGTTTCGGCGGCGGAGATTCGGATTCCTTCTTGAAGTACTTGGTAATTCCCACGGGCTCATCCACGGCCATGGACCCCGTCTCTTCATCCGAAGGGGGCGCTGAGGAGAGCGACGAGAGTTCTGAATCAGAAAGGGACAGGTTCGACATGGTTGTGTGGCTGCCCGATGCTTGCGAAGAGGGGAGATGTTTGATACAAGGTCGAGCGGGCAGGTCCGCGGCGCAGAGAAGTTCTACTTTGCACTACGGTTGAAGCGCGGCTTTTACGCGCCTGGCGTTTCTGGCATCATCAAGACAACAGCCCTTATCCAGGGATGATCAGCACCCAATCAGCCCCAACCCTTCGGCGATAGTCTGGGTTTGTCTTGCATCAATGGCACACGGAACTGTATGATCTCTTCAATAGGTTCCTGGCAGCACGCGCATTATACGGAGGATATGTTGGAAACAAAGAGATATCAAATTAAAGTAGTGAAATCATCGAACCAAGAGCACCGTCTACTTGTACTGTATGCCTGGGTCCACAGGATGGCAAAATCAGAGGTCATTGTACACTGGGTCGTCTCCAACATGGCCACAGTCACAGAGGTGACGGAGTTGCCAGCAGAGGAAGATCGTGGTCGACCAGCACTGTGCTCTGGGAGATGACTGTCGACCGGACAGAGGCATACTCCCATGTTCGGTCACCTAACAGGTATGAATGTCTGCCTGGGCAGTGCGATGTACCTGGCAGGATGCACTCTCATGAATGGATATAGGTTCGCATGGACGCGTCAAGCGAGCCTGAACGGACTTGCCCCGCTCGCGGTATACCATGTTGCCATGCGGCTTCCGATCCGTAGTTGACAGCATGGATATAGACGCACGGGGCGTCTCGAACACCGAGGCACAGACCCAACGCGTGCTAATCATGAATGCAGAACTCGACCTGTCTGAACTGCATCAACATGGAAGTTCTCAACTTATTGCAGCCGATGCGGGTGTTCATCGGCCCATCCCGTATACCTAGAAGCTGCAATGCTTCGGGATAAAATTGTACTACCAAACGCGGTCAGTTCATGAGGACGACAAACAGGATATACACGAATCAGCAACTCAAGCACTGGGTGTTTCTCAATCAATTGTCCCCGAATGAGTCGATAGTGCTCGGTGAGCCGTGAATGACGCATCCCACGAAGTGGAGTTTGTCGAGAATATGATGTATGTACAGTATTGTACTAACTTGGAGTGTATATAGTCGATAAGCGACTCGCAGCATGGAAAAGAGAGGGTTTTTTATGGTATGGCAGGAGGGGAAAAGGTAAGCGCAGTGGCACGGGCAAGACAGGTAAGTACTGTACATACATGCTTAGTAGTTACTGTACTTAGGAACAGGGACATGCACTGTCACTGTCACTGCATCGACATGGTGGTACTCCGTACTCGGCTAAAGTCCGCGGGCGCTGGGGGAGTCTTGCCAGGTTGGTCCTCTTCCATCGCCGTAGTGGCACAGTAGGCTCACAAACCGCGCAATTGCCCTACCGGGCTTAGTCAGAAGCGACCCGCGCCACACCCAAGTCGCAGCCACCGCTCACTCATGCACGCTAGCCCCGACGCGGTTAGATTAGCGACTTCCACCCTAAAGCCCACACAGCCCTTCGCCGACGAATTCTCAACACCAACCCGACAAGGTCATCTTAGATTTGAGGTACGAGAACTCGAACTCTCCCACCACCAGGTCGCCGGCGGACTCCTCTTGAATACTAACACCAGGTCCCTATCTAGAAAGTCGCCATGGGTCGTGTGATCCGCAACCAGAGGAAGGGTCGTGGAAGCATTTTCAGTGAGTGCGACCGCAATATTCTCCAAAATTCGAAATCTCCTCTGTGTGCCAGAATTCCGGAATGCTGATGCAAAAATCTCGACTGTAGCGGCCAACACCCGTCTCAACAAGGCCCCTGCCCAGTTCCGTGTCCTCGACTACGCTGAGCGTCATGGATACACCCGTGGTGTTGTGAAGGAGATCATCCACGACCCCGGCCGTGGTGCTCCTCTCGCCAAGGTCCAGTTCCGTCACCCCTACAAGTTCAAGCACGTTACCGAGACCTTCATTGCCAACGAGGGCATGTACACCGGTCAATTCATCTACGCCGGAAAGAACGCCACCCTGACTGTCGGCAACATCCTCCCCCTCGCCTCCGTTCCTGAGGGTACCGTTATCACCAACGTTGAGGAGAAGGCTGGCGACCGTGGTGCTCTTGGTCGTACCTCCGGTAACTACGTTACCGTCATTGGACACAACCCTGAGGAGGGCAAGACCCGTGTCAAGCTTCCCTCCGGTGCCAAGAAGGTCATCAAGAACACCGCCCGTGGTATGGTTGGTATCGTCGCTGGTGGTGGTCGTACCGACAAGCCTTTGCTCAGTACGTTTTTCCCTGAAAAAACTCTGGCTCCGGGAACACAGGAGTCCAGAGAAGGAAACCCTCGCACGTGAATTGGCCGCTAACATTTCCCTACAGAGGCTTCTCGTGCCAAGCACAAGTTCGCTGTCAAGCGCAACTCCTGGCCCAAGACTCGTGGTGTTGCCATGAACCCCGTCGATCACGTAAGACTCCCTTTTTCTGGGCTGCTTCGAGCAGTCATGCTTTGCCGAGGTGGAATTGATGCTGACAAGTGTTTTCTCTACAGCCTCACGGTGGTGGTAACCACCAGCACATCGGTAAGGCTTCTACCATCTCCCGCTACGCCGCCCACGGTCAAAAAGCCGGTCTCATTGCTGCCCGGAGAACTGGTCTGCTCCGCGGTACCCAGAAGACCAAGGACTAAGCGGGTTATGGTGTGGAGTTCTTTTTGTGACGGGTTGAAAAGGCTCTTTTGCTATGAGGCATATGTACTTAGGCGACTGCGGATAATCTCCCATGCGTCCTTAGCCAAGTTAGGTTGTGGCCAACAAATATTTTCATGATGACCAAAGCAAAAGAAAAAACGGGTTAAAAATTCAACTCCTGTGCCTGTGCTTGAACGCGTATCTCTGTTGCGGAGCTTGCTGGTGCGCTGTAGTGTAGGCGATGCAGTCGACGGTTCGAACAGATAGGAGCTGCTCTCACATCCCAGGTATCATGTCCGGACAGCGTGTGCTTTACAGCATGATCTTGTAGTGAGGTTCCAATTGTCTTCGCGAGGCGTATGATCAGGATGTCGATTGTAGTCAATCTCGTTGATATATACTTTCGAAGTGCGCTGCAGCCGCCCATTGTCGGGTTGAGTATAGACTTTTTCATCATCACGCAGAACATCATGATACAACTAGCATACATGCTGGTATTCAGAGGACCTATCGACTGACATTGGAATTATTCTCGCGCGCTCCAGACTCCTTCGGCTACCGAAGTAAAAGTTTATGTAGGCAACTTGGGAGTATGTTGCTTTCAAAGTGACCAATCACAGCATTGAGTCATTACCCAGGGTAGAAGTGTACACTCCCGTTACTCAAAAGAAGCACTTTAGAACAACCACCTACAAAAACATCATCTCTCGAAACAATTCGCTCAACCAATGCCCGAAGCTTCAGCAGTCTTCTCCCAATGGACCAAAAGCCACCACCCCTCAAGCTTCCTCCACGCCTGATTCCTCCTCTACCCAGTCTGGCCTGCGCCTCCGCGCGGTGGCAGGCGGTAGTCAAGCGTGATCCCACCGCCATCACTTTCGTCTACGCCGTCCTCACGACCAAGATCTACTGCCGCGCCGCCTGTCCCGCCCGACTCGCGCGACGGGCCAACGTCCGCTTCTACGACCTGCCCTCCCAGGCAGAAAGGGCAGGGTTCCGGGCGTGTAAGCGCTGCAGACCTGAGACCCTGCAGACCGGCGGGAGCAGCAGCAGCGGCGGCGGCGGCGGTGACGGCAGCAGTAGTCCTCAGGTTCAGCTGGTGCACCGAGCATGTCAGACGATCGCGTCGACCGTCCAGTCGGGATCGAAGCCCACGCTTCACCTCCTTGCGACCGAGGCGGGGCTCACATCCAGTCACTTCCATCGCGTGTTCAGGAAGGTCATGGGCGTTACGCCGGGGAAGTATGTTGCTGGGATGATGGAGAAGATGAAGGAGGGGAAGAGCTACGGGGCGTCTCGGGCTGCTCCGGAAATAGGGACGGTGCGCCAGCTTCAGCCCTGTGGTGGCTTGGAGGTTGCTGTTGCTGTTGATGGGATCAGTCGTAGCGCCGACGTTGGGGAGGAGGAAGAGCTGATCCTGCCGTGGAATGACTTTGATGCAGCATTGATTGCCGCCGAGACTGGTTTCGTCTCCATGCAGGAGGTGCAGCCCCTGGGTGAACTGCATGCTTGGCATGGGGTTAGCTTATTATTTGACGGTGATGGTGATGATGATGCTACTGCTGCTAAATTTGAATAATCGATCGGTCTTCTGGAGATGGGTGTTATATGGTGTCACGGCATGATGGGATCTTCGGTTTTGATGGGTGGCGTCGGTTTTCCATGTTCATCTTTCGAACTTTGTCGTTGTTTCGGTTATTGTTGTTGCTCTTTATGCAGCTTATGTGACCATGGTTCCTATAACCCACTGTGATTATATGTACTTGAGGCAAGTCAGTGGTTGATAGACGTCGTTGCGGAGTCGATGAATGCCTTGACTTTATATATCTTCCCTGATATGGTGCCCACCTCTGAATCAACTAATGGATGATTGCATGGTTGTCTACAGAATGCCAATTGTCCATTATAAACATAGTTGCGTGGGCGATAATCCAGAGGAATTGCTCCGATCAACATAGATCAGTCGAACACCAAAGGTTGGACTCCTGGCACAAAAACCAAGGGTGGTTTGGCAAGCTCACTGCAGAGGGTCGGAGAGCTCCGCAACAGGTAAGGATAATTGTACAAATACAGATTAGATCACTGTGCAGAGTAGCATTCGCATATGAAAATCCCCGGCTTGGGAGAGGATCAACTATTCGGTTTCAATTGAAGTTTCCAGATGCATCGATTACATCTTGCATCATGATTTATGATCTGCAAATTGCATGTTACGGAGTATGGTGGATAGCATTTCCTCTTCCACCCCGTATCTACCCGTAAGGGCACCCACCCACTGTAGGTACTGTACTGAGCACTGAGCATGATCGATCTAGAGGTCTGGAATACGCAGGCTCTCTCCATTGTACATTTGGTTCTATACCTTTCATCACAACTACGAGTACTACCTCGCGCGCAGGCCATTCTCATCTGATACCTTTTTTAGCAGCTATGAATCTCCCCATCAGAGACACATACTAAGTAGCATGATATGATATGCTATTATATACTCAGTATCATCATGCCGACGTGATGGGCAGAGATTTGCTGATGATCAATGCGCTTTTGGAGTATGACTGACACACCCTGCGAAATCAAATCCAAGACATTCCTCATCACTGTTCCAAATCTCGAAACAGAGAAAGCCCTGGTTCCCCAACCCACCCTTGGTGTTTCTGTAAATAGAACTTCATTTTGACTCGACTGTTCGAGCTGGTGGCAAAGCCAGTCGCGGCCAATCCAAGTTTTTTGACGGGCGTTCAGATCTCCACTTCAATGGCCCACAAACGCGTGTCACTTGCTTTGTTGTTAAACCTGTCTTGACCTATGAGGATTGCCAGTGGAGCGATACACACAAACAAAGGTAGTACAACCCGAGAAGGAGAAAGCCATTCAAGGTCGCGGTCCGACAATGGATGGTAGAATGGTGGATTGGTACGAATACGATGGGTTGGATTGGGGGTTAAGGTACTGGAACCATAATACTGTACTGTAGTTTACTAGTGATGCTCCTGTGTTTCAGCTACACCTCAAACAAAAACGCCAGGCGTTCTGGCCCCGCCTCCACCGGCTCCATTCCTTGATCAATTCGTACCTCAGACAGCACTTTTCAGGGCTCAGGAGATATCACCATAAAGGAAAGATCGGAGAGAAACCATCAAGACGAATTGGCTCATTTGCTGCCATTTTCAGCATGACGGAGCACTGAGTATGATCTTGGAACTCGACTCGACATTCTGGCCCCTCCCCACACCCCTCTTCTCACAGGGGACATTTGTCCATCAGAATTCCGAACTTTACTGAGTGTTGGTGGGGGTGATGTGAATTGGCTAGGAAACCAAGAGGCAATGTGGCGCTTCGGTCCTAACTACTGAGTACAGTCCTGTATGTACTGTACCTCCAGTGCTCCAGTACTCCCGGGCCAGTACTCCGTACTCCGTACAGCCATACCACAGTACCTATAGTCGTAGTGATTGGACTGTAAATGGCCTGCCCCAGTCGTCTATCGGCCGCTTGCGATTGGCATGGGGGGAAAAGGAAGAGTTGCTGTTGCTGTCTGTCATTCCGCAATGGACAAACACAACGGTCAAGTCAAATCCAGTCCATTAGTTCATGTCTAGTACGTACTGTACGTACTAGCACTCACTTTTAATAAAAATAATTTATTGACCCCAAGGTCAAAGGAAATTTCCCCTTTCCAACCTCCCACTTTCACTCAGGGCCTCCTCTGCCTAATCCTCTTCTCTTCCTCCGCTTCAACTTCCTTTTCCTTTCCCCCTTCCCCCGCTTGTCGCAAACAAAGCGCAATTTAATTCATTTGCCCTTTCCCTTCTATACCTGAACTGCTTCAAATCTCTTCACGTATTTGCCTCCTGGCCGTGGCGCTTTTCTTGTTTGCTCTTGTCGATACCCAAGCTGTGCCTTGCTTGAGCACGGTGAATCTCTATTCACACCTGATTCATCCAATCTCGCTCTTTCTGAATACTCACTCTTCTCGTTATCACCGAATTGCCTCGACTCGATCTTTGCGAACCACCAACCACCTTCGAACCCCCTTGACACATTCCCTCTATTCGCCACGTTCGTTCCCCTGTTTTACTATATCCACCACCGCAATCTACCAAAATGAACGTCAATCGGAAATTCGATCGTTTCAAGCAATGGGCTGGCGAGAGAATGGGGGGTGAAGTCAAGACCAATTTGTCAGATGACTTCAAGGCCTTGGAAACGGAGATGAACGTGCGCCACGATGGTAGGGTGTTCCCACGGGTCACTGATTTTGACTCTGCTAATTCCCTGTTCCTGAATAAGGTGTCGACCGCATCCACAAGGCAACCGCCGCTTATATCAAGTCCATCTCGAAGCGCAGCGAAGGCGATGATAAGGAGAAGACGCTGCCTATCGCCCATTTGGGTAGCAGCATGGTTGGTCACGGCGAAGACTTTGATGCAAACTCTGAGTATGGACGTTCCATGATCAGTATGTTAGCCCCTCCCTTGACTGTGGGGTGAAGTTGTATGCTCACATGGTTTTCTGTGCAGTGCTCGGTAGAGCGGAGGAGCGCTTGGCTCGCCTCCAGGATGCCTATATTTCCCAGGTGAACGCAGGGCTGCTCGAGTCGCTCGAACACTCTTTAACCCAGTTGAAAGACTACCAGGTAGCTAGACCCATCATCTTCACATATTTTGTAGCAGGGGCACTGATGAGGAGTACAGACGGCCCGCAAAAAGCTCGATGGTCGCCGTCTGGCATACGATACATCGCTTTCCAAGATGGAGAAAGCGAAGAGGGAGGACTTCCGCGTGGAGGAGGAGTTGCGGACCCAGAAGGTCAAATATGAAGAGGCTAACGATGACGTTTGCCGAAGAATGCAGGATATCAAGGACTCGGAAGCCGAGGGCGTGATCAATCTGGAGGCGTTTTTGGATGCTCAACTGAGCTACCACGCAAAATGCCAGGAGGTGCTGCTCCAGCTCAAGAGCGAGTGGCCTGGCAGGTGAGCCGCCCCGGCCCATGATTCTTTCCTAGGCGTATGAATAGCTAACAAGCCGGTAGACAACCTCTTTCCCAGACTCCCAATGGCCGTCGCCCAGGCCGCCCCCGCTCCAACACCGCACACTCTTTCGCCGATCGCTACGAGCCGTTGCACGAGGAGGATCATAATGGTGCGGATGTCCGGCCGATTATCCGCTCCTCTCGAGCCACTTCGATTGAGCCGACGGGTAGAGAGGTCTATCCGCCTGATGCTTACTCGAGCCGGCCCGTACTGAGCAGGACCTCAACGTTTGAGGGTCCTACGCAGTTGCGCCAGGATTCCAATTCCAGCCCGTATCAGTGGCCGTCTCGGTCAGCCAGTGAGAACTATATTGGCCGCCGAAACAGCAGTCAAACCCGCCCTGCCGGTAGAGGATATGCTGATCCGTACATGGATCCGTCTGAGGATGACAGTCCACGCAGCGGCACTAGCCCAGACCGATCTTACATGGGACGCAACGAATCGCCTGGGCCATCCTATGGCAGCGTGGTGACGAGAAGATCCAGCTCGAACACCCTCAACAGCGCATCTTTGCACAAGAAGGCCCCTCCACCTCCGCCCCCTCGCGCTAAGAAGCCCGCCCCTCCACCACCCCCTATGAAGAGGGTGATTCCGATCGGAGGTGACGCGTAGGTGGCTGGACACACCTACGTTGCTGCAATTATATTTGAATCTGATTTACATCCTGCTGGCAGGTGGTACTATAAGATAGTGGGTGGTCTTAGTGGGAAAAGCAGTCTTCTCCTCCGTGGTTGTATCTTTGTAAATGGGTGATGCGACAGGGTGTGCGTACTGGGATTCTGAATTGTACTGTATAGGGAAGGAATTGCGTAGAACTTACTGTTCGCTAGTTCGATGGTTGTGAAATTACTCGTAATTGAATGCTTGATCACTGTCCTTAGCTGCTCTCACTGGTAACTTAGGTAATCATCATATCGGCCGAGGCTGGGGAGAGCTTCCCCGCTAGTCCTAACCCGGCCGCCCCGGGCAGGTCTATGACAGTCGCTGGCTGAGTCAGCGACCAGCAGCGGTATCCCCCATCCGCACGTGACACGGCACGAAATCTTCTTCCAACGTCTCGCCGCCTACCCTCTCCTCGTTACAGGCACAGGCTGAGAGCACCGCCAGTTTCCCCGACCAGCACGGAAAGTCGCGAAAGCCCCGTCCCCTCCATCTCCATTTCATCCAGACTGGCCTTCCACGCGCCATTCTCACCCCCGGCCCCCTCTTTGGGGTCATTTTTACACTTTCTTCTTCGCGTTAGACGCCCCTTTCTCTCTACTCATTGATTCTCCTGTTTGTCGCCTACCGCCCTGTATCTCCCCCGGCCCGGCCTAAACATCACGAAACCTGTCGCCAAAGTCCAGATACAGGCCGCTACCTGTCGCATCCATCCACAAAGAGGCATCCCTATCCATTCACTTTCGTAACTGAGCGCTCCCCATCGCTCCCCTCGCGCGATCCCTCATTTACCGTCGCCCGCTCCCAATTCCCACGTGTTTTCCTAAGCGCTTCACTGTGCCCCGTCGCAACCCAGGCCTCCCTCGTGTCTCCTGCGTTGCTTATGAATAAAACAACCACGCGCTAGAGCATGGCCTCTCTCCAGTCAGCACCCAATATGGCGGCTGGAAACATGAGCTTGCCGCCGAATTTGACGCAGCAACACATTCAAGAAGTCCTGCAGGTGCGTCCGCGCTGACCCGCCCTTCACTCTCTTCTTCCTTCTACCACCATCACACAACCTCCCTTTCATTGTGTCAGCTTCTCCATGGCATGACTCTAATCCCCTTGAAGAAATACAAGCAGATGCAAGAACAAGGCGTGCGCCATGACGATCCCGAATACCTCAAAGCCCACAACCTGCTTTCAGCAGTCCAACGGCAACAAGTATTTCAGAAGCAGAGGTTCGCCCAACAGCAGCTTCAGGCGCAACAACGCCAGCAGCAGCTCAATGGCGTGACTCCAGATACCGCCGCCGCCGCCGCCGCAAATGGTGTCAATGGTACTGCTTCCATTTTGACCTGCGTCTGCAGGTAATAACTAGGTAGCCTCTTCGCTAACGCTAGCATTCACAGGCCGCGGCAATCCCGCCACAGCCCCTGTCAATGTGGTATCGGATGGATCCTCAGCTACGTCCGCTGCTGCTCAGCAGGCTTCAGGCCAGATTCCCTCCCAAAAGGGTATGTCTGTTGCCAGCAGTAGCTTTTCTGCCGAGCAATTGGCGACGCTTCGGAACCAGATCTTGGCCTTCAAGATGCTATCCAAGAACCTCCCGATCCCAGCTCGAGTTCAACAACAGCTCTTTCCTCCCAAAAAGGCGCAGACTCCGGCCCCTGCAGATGCCATCGCGGCTGCTGAGAACGTTTTGGACAGCGCTGCCCAAGGGAAGACTGATTCATCTATGAACGTGGAAGAGGAGGCCCAGGCTAAGGACTTCTACCAAACCTTCCAGTCACCCTATGATCTGATACCCAAAACCATTGGCTTTACGGATCATACCTCTCGTGCTAATCGCATGCGCGTTCCTGCTTTGATGCCCGCTGGCATTGACATGGACCAAGTGCGCGAAGAGCGGGAACTTGCACTCTACAACAGGATCAACGCGCGGAAGGCTGAGCTGGCTGAGCTTCCGGCCAGTCTCGGTGTCTGGGACTCTAGCCAGAGTGACACTGCCACGGGCGACGACTCCCTGAAGCTGAAAGCTTTGATTGAGTATAAGATGCTTAGCCTGTTGCCCAAACAGAAGCTTCTCCGCAAGCAAATGCAACACGAAATGTTTCACTTCGATAATCTGGGTATGACGGCAAACCGCTCTAGCCATCGCCGGATGAAGAAGCAGAACTTGCGCGAAGCTCGCATTACGGAGAAGTTGGAAAAGCAACAACGCGATGCGCGCGAAACCAGAGAGAAGCGTAAACAGTACGATCATCTCCAGGCCATCCTTAACCACGGCGCGGAACTGCAAAATGCTGCCGCTCAGCAGCGCACCCGTGCGCAGAAACTGGGTCGGATGATGCTTCAACACCATCAACATATGGAGCGTGAAGAGCAGAGACGTGTCGAGCGTACTGCCAAGCAACGTCTCCAGGCCTTAAAGGCTAACGATGAGGAGACTTACTTGAAACTGCTCGGGCAAGCCAAGGATTCTCGTATCTCTCACCTGTTGAAACAGACCGACAACTTCCTCAAACAGCTTGCTGCCTCCGTGCGGGAGCAGCAGCGCAGCCTTGCTGAGCGTTATGGTGAAGAAGATCAGTTCTTCGAGGAGGAGGAAGAGGAGGAAGAAATCGCTTCTGGAAGTGAAGACGAAGGCGATGGCAGAAAGAAAATCGACTACTATGCTGTTGCTCATCGTATCAAGGAAGAAGTCACTGTCCAGCCAAGCATCCTTGTTGGCGGTACTCTGAAAGAGTATCAGATGAAGGGTCTGCAGTGGATGATTTCACTTTACAACAACAACCTCAATGGTATCCTGGCAGATGAGATGGGTCTTGGAAAAACCATTCAGACCATCAGCTTGATCACCTACATTATTGAGAGAAAGAAGAACAACGGACCTTTCCTCGTCATTGTTCCTCTAAGTACCCTCACCAACTGGAACCTGGAATTCGAGAAATGGGCACCTTCAGTTTCGAGGGTTGTCTATAAGGGCCCCCCCAATGCGCGCAAACAGCAGCAACAACAGATCCGATGGGGCAATTTCCAGGTCCTTCTGACCACCTACGAATACATCATCAAGGATCGCCCAATCCTGAGCAAGATCAAGTGGACCCATATGATTGTCGATGAAGGTCATCGTATGAAGAATACGCAGTCTAAGTTGAGCAGTACTTTGTCGCAGTACTATACCAGCCGTTACCGTCTGATTCTGACCGGTACTCCCCTGCAAAACAATCTCCCAGAATTGTGGGCTCTGCTCAACTTCGTTTTGCCGAACATCTTCAAATCCGTGAAATCTTTTGACGAGTGGTTCAACACACCGTTCGCTAACACGGGTGGACAAGATCGCATGGAACTCAGCGAAGAAGAACAGTTGCTCGTCATTCGTCGTTTGCACAAGGTTCTCCGACCTTTCCTGCTCCGACGTCTGAAGAAGGATGTCGAGAAGGATCTGCCCGACAAACAAGAAAGAGTCATCAAGTGTCGGTTCTCTGCTCTGCAAGCTAAGCTTTATAGGCAGCTTGTCACTCACAACAAAATGGCCGTCAGTGATGGCAAGGGTGGCAAGACCGGCATGCGTGGTCTCAGTAACATGTTGATGCAGCTGAGAAAACTTTGTAACCATCCATTTGTTTTCGAGCCTGTTGAAGATCAAATGAACCCTGGACGCGGGACCAACGATCTACTCTGGCGTACGGCCGGTAAATTCGAACTTCTGGACAGAATCTTGCCCAAGTTCCGTGCCACTGGCCACCGTGTCTTGATGTTTTTCCAGATGACTCAGATCATGAACATTATGGAGGATTTCTTGCGCCTTCGTGGCCTGAAATATCTCCGTCTCGATGGTTCTACCAAGTCCGATGATCGGTCGGATCTTTTGAAGAAGTTCAACGCCGAAGGCTCCGAGTACTTCTGCTTCTTGTTGTCAACACGTGCGGGTGGTCTTGGTCTTAATCTTCAGACCGCTGACACCGTTATTATCTTCGATTCCGATTGGAATCCCCATCAGGATCTGCAGGCGCAAGATCGAGCTCATCGTATTGGTCAAAAGAACGAAGTTCGTATCTTGCGTCTCATCAGCTCCAACTCGGTTGAAGAGAAAATTTTAGAACGTGCACAGTTCAAGCTTGATATGGACGGCAAAGTCATTCAAGCAGGAAAATTCGATAACAAGTCAACCAACGAAGAACGTGACGCACTCTTGCGGACACTGCTGGAGACGGCAGAGGCCGCTGATCAAATTGGCGATCAGGAGGAGATGGATGACGACGACCTCAACGATATTATGGCACGATCGGACGACGAACTGATCACGTTCCAGCGTATCGACAAGGAGCGGCAAAAGAATACTCCATACGGTCCTGGCCACAAATATCCTCGCCTCATGTGCGAAGAAGAACTGCCAGATATCTATCTCACTGAAGAAAATCCGGTCACAGAAGAAGTTGAGGTTGACTTGGGTGGTCGTGGTGCACGTGAACGCAAGGTGACCCGCTACGACGATGGTCTCACGGAAGAACAATGGCTCATGGCTGTGGATGCCGATGACGATACCATCGAAGATGCGATCGCCAGAAAGGAAGCCAGAGTTGAGCGCCGTCGTATCAACAAGGAGAAGCGCAGCCGGAAGGCAGGTGTTGAATCTTCACCGGAACCGTCGCGGGAGAGCTCGGAAGCCCCTCAACCAAAGAAACGTCGCCGCGGACCTGCTCCCAAGCGCAAGGCAGAGGAGGTTGTGGAAGAAACGCCTCAGCCCAAGCGGAAGAGAGGAAGACAAGCCAAACCCATCGAAACTCTGAGCAGCGAGGATCGCGCAATCCTGCAGCGCATCGTTAACAATGTCTATCAGTCATTGATGGACATGGAGCAGGAGTTGCCAGCAGATTCTTCGGACAGTGAGGACGGGCCCGTGACCCGGTCTATCATCGAACCTTTCATGAAGCCGCCTCCCAAGTCGCAGTATCCTGACTACTACATGATCATTCACAACCCAATCGCTATGGAGATGATCAAAAAGAAGATCAACCGTGAAGAGTACCAGAACCTGAAGGACTTCCGTAATGACATCCACCTTCTGTGTCAGAACGCTCGAACCTACAATGAGGACGGCAGCATCCTATTCCAGGATGCCAACGACATCGAGGTAAGATATTTCGAGACAAGTAAATTGAGGTGGATTGATGCTTAACAGTACACAGGCCAAATGTCTATCCGAACTGAAGAAGGAAACCGAAGCTCATCCCCAGTTCGCCGATTATGACGACCTAGGTGGCAATGATCAACCCGCTGCGGCTTCTGGCACCGACACGCCCGGTCCTGTTGCAACGCCCAAACTGAAGCTGACCTTCAACAGTGGCAACCGGGACAGCATGGGACCGACTGGCGGCAGTGGTGTGAACGAGGATGAATGAACCGCTAATAGACGCTTTGCAGATATAGTGGGCTGATTTCCGATATGTTTTAACGTGTTGCAAAACCTTTGCTTAATTGCACATTACCTTCTATACTGTTTTGATTCTCCTCTTTATTTTCACCCTTCTGTGTTTCTTGACATGCCCTCTTCCACTATTTGGCTCCGTGGACGGCGTTACATGAATTCGGTGGCTGCGGACGGACGACGGTCGATGGCGCAATGCTCTCCAGCTTGAAGACGAGCGATTTCTGATTCTTTTTTTTTTTACTCTGTCTGTTTCCTGCAGTCACTCACAACGACATGAATTTCATACTTTCCCCCCCAAAATCATTTCTGCTGTCAAGGATATCTGGATTGGGAGCCTGGCCGAAGACATGTTTCAGTTTCGTTTCTCTTCTCCCCCTTCCTCCCCCCTTTCCCTCCTGCGACTTCTGCAACGGCCGTTGCTGGGGTCGTTGGGTTTTGGGGCAAATGTGGCTAGACTACGCGTCTCTCGGAGGATGATGACCTTGGTTGTAACTTGGATTCTCCGTCCTTTTGTGATTTAGCCATAGTCCATGTAGTCCTTTGTAATGTATGAGTTGTTGTCTGATTGTGGTTCGTCATAGGATAGGCTTTGGTCATTCTACGTAGGAGCCTTCTCTACTGGGAGGGATTGTACTGTACTGTACAAATAACCATGTATGGACTAGAGAATCGATTCGATCATTGGGTTCTGAGCCACGTATGAAGGGAGGGATAATTGATTGAATCTTCTTCCTTGCACATCCCTGGTGGTGGATCCAGACCAGACCAATCTATGTATAGATCTATTGCTTCTTGGGTACTAATGCGGGCCTTGAGCGGTCGCTATTCTGGATTGTTCGATTGGGGATTGGAAATGCAAGCTGGCCCCAGCTGCAACACCAGTAGAGTGGTTGGGGGAGTACTGGGATGAAGCAGAGTGATGCGTGGGAGAAGGTTATTGGTTCAACGGCGATTGGAACTCTGGAGAGCTACAGTAGTACCATGCATAATATGAATGAGTATGAGGTAGATATGGGGGATATAGACAGACAGTTCTGAACTAAAGCCGTTTGTTGTTGTTGCAGCAGAAACTAATACATTTTGCAACGTAGGATAGCGATACGGGACCGTACAGTACACAGCCTTGAGGGCATACCTTTTTATTACACAGTCTGCTTCCGCAGCTATCCGTACTGTACTGTACTGTACTGTACTGTATGTACACCGCATCTGCCGAGAGGGTCACTGATGCACATTCGCTCCCTCAAGAAAAGAGAAACTGAGATGAACGGGACCAGATATTGCTGGGAAATTCCTCAGAAAGTGAATAACAGTCGTTGGTAACGAGGATGAGGATTCTAGACCCAGTTCTGCCGAACTGAAGGACTTCCCAGCACCACGTCATCTGGGCTTGAATCAGCCCTCGACGTCATGAACGAAGCAGAATCACGTGATGTGACGCACCGTCATTGGGGAAACCAGCCCGATTTCCATTCCCGTAACCGCCAGCTCGTCCTTTTGAATCTCACCTCTTCTTCCCTTTCCTCTTCCTCTTCCCCAGCTCTGCCTGCCAAAACATTCTGCCTACTGATAACGATTCCACTCTTCTCCTTCACAACCTTGTTCGTACCCATCCCCCCCTCCAACCACCAAAACCTTTCCAACTTCCAACTTTCCATCTCACAATACCCCCGATCTAATCGTAGTTGTTCAGATTAGCTTGTCCAATTCATTCGAAATGGCTTCTTTCCAGGATCGTGCTCAGCACGCCATTGCCCAGCTCGACAAGGAGGTAAGTGTCGTGTGTGCGTCGGCTTCGGCCTCAATCCGTGTCTTGCTTTGTGCGAACTGCGACTCCTCACTCTTCATCTTGCTTTGAATTGTGTGGCTGTTGTTTGCTTTGGTGCTTTTGCTTTGCGAGGGATGAAGCTCCTACCATGTTTTGATATTTCTGAAGCTAACAATATTCCCTTTTTGTGGGAACTCCTCTTCAGCTCTCCAAGTACCCCCTCCTCAACAACCTCGAGCGCCAATCCTCCGTCCCTAAGGTCTACGTGATCCTCGGCCTGGTTGGTATCTACACCTTCCTCGTCTTCTTCAACATCGCCGGTGAATTCCTCGTCAACCTCGCCGGTTTTGTCATCCCTGGCTACTACTCCCTGAACGCCCTCTTCACCGCCGGTAAGGCCGACGACACGCAGGTACGTTTTGCAATTCTGAATTCCCTTCGATGATGATGCTGACCTGACGATCTTCTGCAGTGGCTGACGGTATGTCCCCGTGATCGCATTTTCTTATCGCGCTTCAGGCGGCATGGTCCCGAGATTGAGATACTCTCCATCCGGACCACCGACCTGGGAGCACGTGACGTCTGTTCGTCAGCAGCAACTAACATGTGATTGTGTCATAGTATTGGGTTGTTTATGCTTTCTTCACCGTCCTTGAGAGCGCCGTCAGCGCCCCCTACTGGTTCCGTACGTATCCGCTGATCTTCTTCGGGGAGTGGTCATTGCTGAAGTAACACAACGACTAATATGCGCGATATAGCCTTCTACTACATCTTCAAGTTCGCCCTTGTCCTCTGGATGGCTCTGCCCCAGACCAAGTATGTCACCCTGTCCATCCGCCCATCGTTGTTTTGGTGTTGCCTAGCCGACTCTGACTGACACTTTTTCCTAGCGGCGCTCAAATCGTCTTCCACTCTTTCATCCAGCCCGTGCTCGGCCGCTTCTTCCAGGGTGGTTCCACCTCTGCGAACCTCCGTGCCCAGGCCGACGCTGCCACCAAGGCGCAGTAAATAGACTTTGCTTAGAAAGTCGAGCAGCTGTGGGGCCGATCTGCAGTCCCCATAGACTGTAGATCGGAACCTCAGGGCACTCGACAGGTGGAGGTCGAAAAAAAAACCCGAACCAGCCGGTGGAGTGTTGGATATGATATCTTCTCTGATATGTTTGGACAATTTACGTTCGTTTGAACTGGATTGATTAAAGATTGAAAAGAGGGATGGTCATCACTGGGGGTTCTTGGGGCTCCTGGTGATGGAGAATACGGAGAGTTAGGGCTGGGCCAATCTTTGTCATGTTACTGTTGTTTTGTCATGAATTGCTTGGGCAGTAGAACGTTTTATGGATGTGATTGATGGATGATGCATGATGGAGGGGGGGAATCGCCACGGGCGGGACTCGTTGGAAAATCGAGTTCCGTGCCGTAGTGGATGATTTAGCTAGGTATATTGGATGCATAATGTCTCTCGGTAATTTGAGCACTGTTGATTGCGTCTTTGATTGGTTTCCTGCTCCCAAGTATATGACATATTCGCCCTGAAACGTCGAGAGTCAAGACATGACAACTCAAAGGGGACTAACATAATCCAAAAGTCGTCTAGTACAGTACATCCACAAGATTTGGATAGATTGGCCCACCGCGAGACGAAAGTCAGATGAGTGATGCTTAAAAAACCCTTGGGGTGCCAGACACCGCCGGGGGTGGAAATGAATAGTTAGATAGAATTCAACAAGATGAAAATGCCCTGGGTATCTGTAGCCCAGCCAACGCAAATGCGAATATGAATGCAAGCAGACAAGACCGCTGAGGGTGGACTCCCCTCTCTCCCAAACTTCCTCTTAATACAGCCCAAACCTATTCTGCCACCCATCTGTGCGCGGGTTGAGGACAATGCGATAAGGGAAGGGATTGGAGTCGCTGGTCGTGATGGGTGGAATATGATCCTTATCGCGATTGACCACGGCGAGGATCTTCAGGGCGGCCTTCTGCAGCATATTCTCCATTGCTTTGCGGACCTTGGCCCGTTCTAGAATTGGGATGGGTGGTCAGTCATCGGACTTCGCCAATAACCGGCCTCTTTCTTGCGATCGTGAGACAGGATGGGGATGAGATTTTGGGAGTTGGGTGGGGGGGAAAGAGCCGAGTAAGGGAATGCCCAGAAAGCGGGGAGAAAGGTCCACAGGCATGGGTCTATGTACCATACATACCAGATTCAGTCCGTGGCGTGGCGATAGTCACGTCCAGATTCCAGACCTCCCAGCATACTTCCTCCTCACCTTTGCCTGCGAGGCCGCCGAACCATATCCCGGAGCGTCGGCGGCGCTTCTCGTAGAATTCCACTGCGATGCGGCCGCGGACGCCGCCCCCGACACTGCCACTACCACCACCGCTGCCGCTACCACCTTCGTAGGTGCCGCCGCTGGTTGCCGAGTGTTGGCGGACGAGGGAGCTGATGCGCGAGTCGATGAGGGTTTCGAGGTCGACGTCGTTGATGGCGGGGAGCGTGAAGTCTAGAACGTCAAAGGTGGTGGGTCGGATGGAGGGGAAGTATCGGTGGAAGAAGATTAGGTTGAGGATGCCTAGAAGTTTTGGAGGGGGTGTGTGTTGGTTATTTGAAGACGTATATACTGGTGGAAGTGTCTCTTATGTGTCTAGGAGGTGGACAACGGGAAACTGACCCTTTAAGACGTCTCGAACGGTGGTGGTGTCGGCGAATATCTCAAGGAAGTACTCCGGGGGCGTTTTGCGGGGCTCCATCTTCCTTAGAAACTCGTTCCGGGGGGGCCCGAATGGCGGGCGCGGGGAGAGGTTGTGTTCGTCGGGTTGGATATTACCGTTCAGATTATCGCTCTCCGATCACCGAGGGCGAAGTACTATATTTCTCCGTGCGGTGGTAGTGCAGGGTAGAAAGTATGCGATGCGTGGATAGGAGGGGGATGATTGGAATCCGGGGTTGTAGGGGCCGCCGGAGGGCGATGACGCCGTCTGTCCGGCTGGACGTTGGGGAGATCGGGGGTTGAATTGTAGAGGGGGGGCAATTGTCTTATGATCGCCGGGAAGTCTCACATGGAGCACGGTTCATGAGGGGTGCATGTTCTGCCAGTAGCAAGATATCTTGAGTTTGAATCTGTATGAAAATGTCATGGAGGATGTAGGGGGAAGATTAGGAGGAGGTGTAGTAGTAGTAGTAGTGAGAGAGTGGGTGCATTGAGAGAGTGGAGGGGAAGGAGATAATGGGACAGTCAGTTCCAGTCAGTCATCCTTGGTATGTAAAATCATTGTAATCAGCATACCTAATCAATCTTAACCCACGCCGGCAGATTCTCTGCTCTCCCTCTCGCGCCTATTTTTATTCTTTGTTTGCTTTCTCCTCTACTTTGAGTCGGGTCTATCTTACATGAGGCCTCTGTAAGCCATGCTATACAAGGATTGTGATGGATGCGCCCTATCTTTGAAGGCTATGTATGACAATTCAAGGTTGTCTTTCAGGTACGGTACAGGACAGGTCAGCCTGACAGTCCAGGCACCGGTTCTCAGGCCAGATAAGGATCCAGCAGCAGCAGCAGCAGCAGCGATGAGGCGACCTTTTGAACAGATAACTGAGTCTAGTCACTACTCGTACAGTACATGCTCTGTATCGTACAAAGGAGGTACCTAGTATGCATCTATGTATGTTTAAATTGCCAATAGGTCAGTCTGAAGCTGAACACAAGCTGTTATCATACGCCGAACTGGTTTAGCCGAGGCCGGATTACCTCTGTCTCTGCTCGCCGACCGTGCCAGCTCTCTCCCTCCATCCCATTCACCCCCCCCGGTTGCTTTCCCTTTCACGCCTCTTACCATCCTGATCCTTCATTCTTAATCCTTCCCTGTCAAATATACTCTGCGCTCTTCCGTTCTACTCCTACTTCTTACATAGGATGATCTGAGCTTCCCCCACCCCCCCCCCCCACCTCCCTCAACCATCTCCTGCTGGCGACCCCGATCATCGCTCTACCATGATCAGTGCCACTAAGCGCTGGTTCCGGCGCAATCGCAAGGGCCTTGCAATCGGAGCGGGCGTTATCGGAGCGGGCTATCTCGCCGGCCAATATGTACTGGGCAAGATCTCGGAGGCAACCGAGCGTATGGGGAGTGATCGTATTGCTCGAGAGAAGTATGTGATCTCTCTGCTGATGGATAGCTCGGGCTGTGTTGCGATGTCTCGTGTGCTCCGAAGCGGTCGCTGACAACGCCTGCCTCGATCTAGCCTACGGAGACGCTTCGAACAGAACCAAACCGACTGTACCTACACCGTCCTAGCACTCTTACCCACTGCCGCGGAGGATATATTGGAGGCATTGCCGGTCGAGGAGTTGACGAAAGAGCTACAAAAGAAACGCGCCGAGCGGTTAGCTCGCCTCGGCACTGCTGAGGGAACAAGCTCTGATCTGAGCTCAATCTCGCCGAGTATCACAGATGATGATCGCCGAAGCCTCTCCAGCTTCCAGAGCGATGGTTTTGTCCGCGCAAGTCAGCTAGGAGAATCCACACTTGAGGGTGCCGCACCGTCGCCGTCGCCAAAGCGGAACAAGACTCAGTTGTGGAATGAGGTTAAGATCACCTGTAAGTCGCTTTCGGCTGTGCTGTTGATCGAGGTCGGGAACTGACGGTCTCATGACAGCTATCACTAGGTCTTTTACGCTGATCTACACCCTATCCCTACTGACTATTTTCACTCGTATCCAACTCAACCTTCTTGGTCGTCGAAATTATCTGTCTAGCGTGATCTCTATGGCCACACCCCCCGCGGATGCATCGACGATCAGACTTGAAGACCATGATGATGATGACCTTACACAGACTCTGGGTAATGACTTCGAAACCAACCGGCGGTATCTGGCCTTTAGTTGGTGGCTTCTTCACCGTGGCTGGAAGCAATTGATGGAGGAAGTGCAATCCGCTGTGACGGAAGTTTTCGGGTCATGCAACCCCAGAGAGGATATTTCGCGAGGCAAGTTGGCAGAATTGACCCTGCAAGTCCGAAGGAAAGTGGAGGGGGATACCGAGGAGGACCGAAAGTAGGTTTTGATTCTTGCCATATGCTTGCTGGTATGTCATTGACCATCTTAGATGCCGGAAGTGGCTATCCTATCTGCTTCCCCCGAGAGAGGAAGAGGATCATCTGCTGGAAGAGTCCGGTGTTCTAGGAGTGACAGAACCCTACTCTCCTCAAACCACTGCGACACTGCGGCACCTGTTGGACGAGACAGCTGACCTCATTGACTCTCCGACATTCACCCGCGTTGTCTTGCTTCTCAACAACGAGTGCTTCGAAACCCTGATCCAACAATGCGCAACGGAGGCTTTTAAGTCATCGCACATGCCTGCCCCACAGTCGTTCACCTCCGTTGCGACGGTCATCCCTGCGGCAGTCAGCTCGGAACCGAAGACTAAGCTTGCAAATGTGCTGGCTGTATTGGCTCGACAAGCCCATGTGATCGGCAACGGCACTGCTCCTCCCAACTTGTACCTCAACGCCATGGAACAAGGAGTTCGGGAGCTGGAAGCTTTTGCGGCCGTCGTGTACAGCTCCAACTTCGATGCTGAACTGCTCGAGTCTGATGCAAAAACGCGATCGATGAGCGTGCCGGCAGAAACAAGCTCCGACACACCCTCTTCCCCGGGCCCCGTCATGGTTGACACGGAGGATATTGAGGACCAGGCTGTCCAATCGATGTCGAGTCTGACAGTTGCGGATGACTCAACCTTTGAGACGGCGTGGGGCAAGGCTGTAGACGATCAGCCCTCAGCGGGACCAACTGCATGAATTGGAGTGATTCCCGCTTTCTACGAAGATGTTGCTCCCTGAATGAACACTTAACGACCTTCCTCTACTATATATATCCGCACGACCGGCGATCAAGCAAATACCACGATTGTATCTATTCTCCTTGGTATGTCACTAGAACCGGAGATGGCCAGCGGATAAAGGGCGGAATAATCTGGCGCTGAAATTGGGCGAATGTACGATATCGGGAAATCAATAGCCTGATCACTCTCCTAAACTGGAAAAATCTAGAGCGTCGTAACCTGGGCCCTGATAGCATCAGAGTATGACTTGCCTAGGAGGGGTGACGTCTGGAATCACATTCATACATAGTCCTGTACATAGTACAGTACAGAACATACGTAGTAGATTTCGTAGAATGCGGGGAGAAGCGAGTGGAGCCGCCTGGCAGCTGCCTTAGTCATCCGAGTATGGGGAAATCCACTTCGCTAGTCAACTCTTTCTACTTCGAAAGCTGAACTCGGCCATAACTTCATTGACAGACTGACAGACTGGTCTAGAGCCAGTATACTTGCCGAGGGTGAGACTTGGGCTGGAGGGGCTTCCCCGCCTCAATCGGTTCTTCTCATCTAAGGTTTGTATAGTATATGGAGAAGATGCTATATCCGGATACATGCCTAAGGTTACCTCCTGCAGCAGTCTTCTGTATTTTAAGCTCATATAGTAAATGCCTGATAATGTTGATCTCAGCCAGCTTAGCATAGAGTCTACCGTCAGGCTGCGATTCCAATTCTCCAGCCAAGCTTCGAGTGACTTATCGATCGATCAGTATTGAGCGCCGGCTCAGGGGACTGACTGGATTGGCTGGCATTGTCGGCTCTCATTGCATCTTTGATACCTGGTGTGCTGTAATAGTAGTAGTAGTTGGGTGTTAACACAGCTGAGCTGACGTTTTCCTTCCCCTCTTCTCCTCTGCTTACTCTCCACAAATTCGATTTGAAATCTCTCATCTCGGACCGCGCTTCTCTGTTCCTCACTGTTGTTGCTCATGAGACACGATTGTCCTCATATTCACTGAGTGAATCACGCACACGGACCGTCATCCCCAGTTTCCTAACCACCTTTCCTCATCAGTCCTGATAATCAAACAAGCATTACTACAGACCAAGTTAGTCAGTTCAGTGTCTACTCCAATTGTCATTCATATCCGGTCTCTGAAGCTTGTTCTCGAAGTGAGATCAAGCACAATGGGTCGCGACCCAGGTATGTTCTCCCATGTGGTTCATGCACAGCACAATACAGCAATCTGACCACTTCATATACAACATAGATTCACAGTCCCCTTACTTCGCCGAGATGAAGACCGAGGAGCAGATTCAGACGTCCGCCGCGGGCCTGCCCCCGCTGACTTCCACGACCGAGCGCAAATTAACGGCCAAGATTGACTGGCATATCGTCCCATGCCTGTGCATCATGTACTTGCTGGCTTTCTTGGATCGGTATGTCCCCTACGTCCCAGAAGATAGGTCCGTGGTAAGTTCGCTGACGGTGGGCGGCTACAGGGTGAATATCAGTAATGCTGCGGTGCTCGGACTGCAGAAGGATCTCAACATTGTCACCGGCACCAAGTACAACACCGCATTGACCATCTTCTTCGTGCCTTATGTGCTGTTCGAGATTCCGTCCAACCTGCTGCTCAAGAAGCTGAAGCCGCATGTGTGGTGTGAGTATCTGGCGTTGTGCATAGTTGTGGTGTCGACCTTGGCTGATCTGTCGTTGATGTTCATAGTGTCCTTGTGCATGTTCGGTTTCGGCCTCGTCATGATTTGTCAAGGGCTGGTTACCAGTTGGGGGGGCTTGGTAACCACGCGCTGGTTTTTGGGTACAATCGCTCTCATGTTCGTTGCTGGTGTGGATGTAGGCTGATACGCAGGGATTAGGGATGTTTGAAACGGGCATGTTCCCTGGGTGTAAGTGCTATCATTGTCGCTGTGCGTACTTGCCACCGTACTAATCTGCAACTTACGTGCAAGGCTTCTACCTGCTAGGCACGTGGTATAAGCGAAGTGAAGCGCAAAAGCGTTTCAGTTTCTTCTTCAGCTCCACCACCCTGGCGGGTGCCTTTGGTGGCCTCTTAGCTAGTGGTCTCGGAAAGATGGCTGGCCTGCGAGGCTACGGCGGCTGGCAATGGGTTTTCATCATCGAAGGTGTTCTCACTTGCGTGGTTTCCTTCGTATGGTACTTCATCATTCCTGGGTTCCCAGAGGATGTCAAATGGATCAATGATGAGGAGCGAAGGTACATCCAGGCAAAGCTGGCTCAGGATGTGGGCAAGGCCGGACATAATGCCCATATCGGTTTCCGCGAGGTGCTGGATGTGTTCAAGGACTGTAAGTTCCGCGGTAATCAGGTCAGCATGGGCGCTGACTGCAACATGTAGACAAAATCTTTATTGGCGGCTTTATGTACTTTGGTCAGGTCGTCTCAGCCTACGGTAAGTAGTATTGAGCAAGCCCCGGCCAAAGCCTCCAACAAGTTCGAAAGAACTTCGCTCACAGTTTCAGGGTATGCCTACTTTGCACCGTCTATCATCAAGACCTATGGATACGGAGGTATAGTGACCTTCCTGGGCTGAAGGACTGACACCATGCATTAACGTATGATGCAGCCATCCAAACGCAGCTGTACTCGATCCCACCATGGGCGGCCGCCTTCGTCTTCTCAATGCTCATTGCAATTTTGTCTGATAAATTCAAGCATCGGTTTGCGTTCACCTTGATTCCGATGTTGGTCACCATGGCAGGATACGGGATCCTCTTGAATGTCCATGGTGTAGCTCATCGGAACGTCCAGTATGGGGCTCTTTTCATGGTCACTTGTGGCACTTACAGCGCAATGCCCGTGATTGTCTGCTGGTATGCTATGAACTTAGGCGGCCATCGGCGACGCAGTGTAGGGACAGCATGGCAGATAGGGTTTGGAAACAGTGAGTGACCAAAAGTTCCAGTGGGCCGGGGCAAGCAGAGGATCTTCCAGGCAGCTGACAACAATCTCTAGTCGGTGGGTTCATTTCGACCTATGCATTTCTAGCAAAAGATGCGCCTCTCTACCGAAATGGATACATCATCAGTCTGTCCTTCCAGTGCTTCTCGGCTGCCTGCTGCATTTTCTACTTCGCAGCGATCTGGGCTGCCAACAAGCGACGTGACCGGATTATGGCTAGGAACACCCAGTCGACACTGCTCGAAGACGAGGAAGAAATTGAGGGTGACCTGGCAGTGACGTACCGATACGCGTACTAAGACGATGGTCTTGACAAGCGGGAACTGCTTGTTGCAATCTGGGATAGACATTTATCTGGCCATTTCAACCGACATCCACGAAGTAGACAGATAGGGCTAGGGCTTTGATTGACTATGGGTGTACTGGAGAGCGGTCAAGCAAGGATATGGCCTTGCAGCATGATTGACCGAGCACAGCGTGGGCCTACTGATTATGAAGCATCATGATGCATAAGTAATGAGAATCTCCATCACACACAATCGTACAATGGCAATTCGAGTAAATCTGGACTCTGGAGGCCTAATGCTGGGATATAGTCTACACCGGGCGGGAGTGTTGATGTCACGAGTGAAACTCAATGTGGTTCCCTGCGGTCTCGGTAAAGCAAAGGGTGGCCAGTGCGTAGCCAATCACAGCCATCAGAGCACTAGCGAGCCCTTAGCGGCATTGGATGCTGAGTCAGCCACGGCGCACACAAGAAGCTCAACCGCGGCCGTTCTCCGTCTTTCTTGCAACCATCTCTTTCATCCTCGCAGAAGTGTGAGTATAGGACCCCGGCCACCTATTGTTCGGCTTGGACCACAACTAACAATCATCTTCTAGTCCTATCTACGAAGATGAGAGCCAAGTGGAGAAAGAAGCGCGTCCGTCGCCTCAAGCGCAAGCGCAGAAAGATGCGTGCTCGCAGGTGAGTTCCAATTCTATAGTCATCATCCTCCAATAGACGAACTCGATGGCTAACATGTATAATTGCAGCAAATAAATTACTCGCCCCCTCCATCTCAGCTCTTCATGTGAAGACTCAGGTTGAACGCTGAACACGACAATCCACAAAAAAACAAGAACTGCAACGACGTCACGATGATGATTTAACCTCTTATGATCGTTCCACGTGGTTCCCTTCTGTCACCATCTCGAATCAAGGGCCCTGCCCCGGTTTCTTTTTCCTCTATTCGAATTCGGAATCCGCCGTTCAACAGATGGAACTTCGAAAATTCCGTTCCAATCCATCGGGTTCGCAAACGTCTTCGATTTCTCACGACGGCTTTTCTCGCGCCATTGTGGCCGGACAGGGGAAGGGATGCGTCTCGTCTGCGCGTGTCTCTTCCGTCCTTGGAGATGGGCAAATGTGTTTGGTAGGGTTGGAGAGGGATCGGTTTTGATTTTGTACTTATCATCATACGCCGATGTCTTTGAGCTTCTATGGGGAACTGGTCAATTTTTCATGTCTCGGGATTCTCTCTGGCAACAAACCAGCGGGAACCTCGAGTCGTGGAGAGGTTTCTTTGAGAATTTATTCCAATCACAAAAAGTTCAAACGCAATCTCGTTCGCTACTTCTACGTAAACACAAAAAAAAAAACAGAGTAGAGCATCAATAGTCAGCGCGATATTGTACTACTTGTCGCAGTCTGTCGATCTTGTGAAGAAATCTTGTGAAGATTGACTACTGAATCCTGGTAGCTAGACAAATGGTGATAGACTAATTAATCATTTGTGTGTCCCCGTGATCTGCAATCGCGCCCTCAGCCAGGCTTGTCTCTCCGCCTTCCATTTCGGGGCCAACTGACTGACCGCCTTCAACTTTTTTTCTGGGACTTTTTCTCTCCTCCGGTATATCAAAATCCACGCCGGTCGAACTACACGGACGTCCGCTGCATTCGACCTGCCCCAGAGACTGCTATTCCTGGAATCGTTGCACAATGGTCTCCGACAAGGTCGAAAAAAAGCGCAAGCGCGCTTCCGATCGCCACGAGCGGCCTAGCAAGAAGCCCGCGCTGGAAATCCAAGATCTGCCCCCTCTGGCGTCGAGCGTGGTGGAGGATGATAGCGAACTCGCTCCGGTCATTGGTAAGTTACCCTTCAGACAACAAACTCGATTTCTCCCGGAGAGACAATACCTTGATTACGCATGCTAATACACCATGGCCGGAAACAAAAAATAGTGACCACTCCCGGCCTTAACGCTCCCCGCAATCTCCGGCTCAAACCCTACCTGAAAACCCGCAGCAAGACCTCCTCCGCGTCGACGCGCAACAAGGGCATCGTCGCGTCGGAGCTGCTCCTCCAGTCGTCCGAACACCCCAAGCTGGACTTTGTGGGTCGCGAGGCCGAGGAGGATGCCGACTCCCAGCTGAAGCACTACGTCGCCGTGGTCGATCCCGAGGATAAGACGTGGCAGTTCGTCGAGGTGCGGAAGATGACGCTGCGGGGTGCGGTGCGGAAACTGCGCTCCATTGATGAAGAGGAGGAGGAGGAGGAGAGCGAGGAGGAAGAGCTGGTGAGTTTTCTTTTCCCCCTGGTGGGCGATGGAAAGGGAAGGGGTATATACATATCCCAGCATATAAAAACCCCGCCCGACCCCCGCCACCTTAAACATTTTTTTTTTCTGCAGGTGAAAACGACTAACAATACTTGTCAATTCCCAGCAAACCCTCCGCGCCCAACGCACCGAACTCACCAACACCTTCGGTACCAAGCAATCGCGCAAAGCGGCGCAATCCCTGGCCGAGAACGCGCAACTCTCCAACCTGCCCTCGGGGGCGGCGTCGGCGGCGGAATCGGCCATCCTGTCGTCGATGCCGACGGAGGGGGTCAGCGACATCGCGGCCAAGGCGGCGCAGGTGCAGGCGCAGGTGCAGGCCAACAAGCCGATCCCGACGCCGCACCTGGACGCCTCGCACCCGGGTGAGGTGTACCCGCTGGCGGAGCTGGTGCCGAACGGCGAGTCGACGCTGCGGCAGCTGCCGGGGGTGCAGGAGTGGCTGGCGACGGCGAGCGCGGGCGAGCCGGTGGTCACGACCTCGCGGTACGTCTCGCGGCGCGTGGACGCGGTCATCCAGTCCGGCAACACCACCCACCTCCAGATCCTGCGCTTCATCCTGCTGCTCCTCGAGCTCAACCGCCACCTCAAGCGCGACCCCAAGGGCGCCGGCCCCGGCAGCAAGCGCCTCCCGCCGCGCGACGAGCTCCGCACCATCCTCGCCGGCGGCACCTCCCCCACCACAGCTACCACATCCGCCGCGGAATCCATCGCCGACCCCATCATCGACGCCGTCCGCCGCCGCTTCGCCCCGGGCACCGGCGGCTCCCTTACCCGCAACGACGTCACCTTCCTCCACACCACCATCTGCGCCCTCTCGCTGCACATCCCGCCCCAGCCCGCCAAGGACGGCGGCAACAGCGCCCAGGGCGGCAACGCCCCCAACGAGCTGGCCACCGACCCCGCCGACCTGCGCGACGACCTCCACCTCGAGAGCCCCGTCATCCTGCAGTACTTCCGCGAGCTGGGCTGCCGCGTCGACAAGCCCCGCGAGTCCGAGTTCGCCAAGTGGGGCATCAAGGGCGGCAAGGCCGAGGCCGCCGCTCGCCGCGTGGCGCGCCTGCGCATTCCCGTGGAGTTTCCTAAGGTGAGCCGCGGGGGTGGGAAGAGACGCTAGTGATCGACTCGAAAGAAGGAGGCGTAGGATTCGAACAGCGGCGTGATTCGGGTGGTGGGATGACGATGTGTGGGTGTATGTTGAAGAGGTATGGCAGAGGGCCGTGGAAGGACTACTCCGTATCCTGATTCCCATATCTTGTCAGATACTCTTGTTGTTGTTGTCCTCAAACCTCAAACCAAAAAAAAAGCATTCGGTCTTTTTTCCCCCTCGGGCTTGATTCCACCGGGCGTTAGGGTACATGTTACGTTTTTGTGGATGTATGTATATTTGTATTTCGTTCGTCTGTATAGTAGGTAGTAGTTATTTTAATCAGTAGCGAAGAAGAGAAGACTTGAATGTGTTATCATAGCGGATCATAGGTATTTCTAGCCATCGCTGCTTATTCGTCCGTGTATTGGGAGGATTATATATATCTAGATACTCCAGGCTGTCTCTGCCACTCACCCAGCTGAGAGATGACCTCGGCCCTAAACAGACAGCCCTGCCCTACCTTCGTGCGGAAGAACATCCTCAATTTCGTTGAATCTTGCATGCTTACTTCTGCTACAAGGACAGATGCATAAACTAAGGGAAGAGGAAGGCCGATGACAATTGTCAAGAATCTAGGACTTGAGCGGTCGTCAATCGACAGGACGAAATATCTTGGTACCCGGCTATCAAAAATCCTTGAGATTCCCAGTCTTCTAGTGTCCTAACCACAAAACCCGCTAGTATATGGCCAACTGGGGTGGTTTAGGGGCGGTAGAATCAAAAATAATTGATGCCTGGAGATCCTCCAGCATTATATGAGGTGATGGATTTATTGACAAAAAAAGGAATGGACGTGGAACAAATGATTACACCATACATCCACAGGACTATGTTTCTCTGAAACATTATTGACGGGGTTAGTTCTCGCAGACATGGGATCTAGGCGGCGACGCCAACAGGGATGCCTGAGGCCACGGCGGCGGCAGGACGGATCCCGGCGGCGGCGGTCTGCATCCGGGCGGAGGCCTGCGCGAGCAGCGCCTCAGCGGCCGCGTCCTGGAACTCCCTGGTGACGGCAGTCTCCAAGTCTTCACCCTCCTGCAGACCCAACTGGGCATCCTCCCAGATAGGCTGGTTGGCGGCCTCGGCTCCTTCGACGCCGACGCCGACGAAGCCGCCCTGGGCCTTCCAGTGGCTGGCGCGCTTGATGCCCAAATCGTTCCAGACGGTTTGGAGAGCCTGGACCAGGTGGTCGCGGTGTTCCTTCACGTGGCCCGGAGTGGGGGTGATGCGGAGTCGCTCTTCACCCCTAGGGACGGTGGGGTAGTTGATGGCTTGGACGTAAATGCCATGTTCCTCCAGAAGCTTGTCCGAGGCTTGCTTGGCGACCTCGGCGTCGCCGACGAGGAGGGGGATGATGTGGGACGGGTTCGGGATCACGGGAATGTCCAACTCCTTCAGGGATTCCTTGACGGCCCGGGTGTGCAACTGCTGCAAAACGCGGTCGCGTTTGTAGTCGGCCTGGTACTGGATGGCAGTGTCCGCTCCGGCCATGGTGGCAGGGGGCAGGGAGGTGGTGAAGATGAATCCCGGGGCCAGAGAGCGGATGGTGTCCACCATGGCGGCGGAGCCAGCAATGTATCCACCGACACAACCGTACGCCTTACCCAGGGTACCAGTGATGATATCAATACGGTCCATCACGGTGCCCTTGGTGCTGCGGGGGTTGGCGGTGTCCTGCGAGGCGTAGACGTCATAGTCGAGATGCTCCGCGACACCCGCACCGTGAGGGCCGTACATGCCCACGGCGTGCACTTCATCCAAGAAAGTGATCGCCCCGTACTTGTCGGCCAGGTCGCAGATCTTCTCGATGGGGGCAATTGAACCGCACATGCTATATACAGACTCGAACGCGATGATCTTGGGGACGTTCAGAGGCAAAGAGGCCAGCTTGGTCTCCAAGTCGACCAGATCATTGTGCTTGAACACCATCTTCTTGGCGCCGGAGTGGCGGATACCCTGGATCATGGAGGCGTGGTTGAGGCTGTCGGAGAGAATGACACAGTCGGGCATTTTACTACCCAGCGTCGCCAAGGTAGCGTCGTTGGCGACGAAGCAGGAACTGAAGACCAGAGCGGCCTCCTTGTTGTGCAACTTGGCGAGAGTGCCCTCAAGGGCTACCGCATGTTGGTTGTGTCCCGAAATGTTTCTCGTACCACCGGCACCTGCGCCGTAGGTGTCCAGTGTTCGGTGCATGCTCTTCAGAACCTCCTGGTTGCGGCCCATACCGAGGTAGTCGTTGGAGCACCACACGGTCACCTTCTCCTCCTGAGACGCGGTGTGTGCACGGGGGAATTCCTTGGCCAGACGATTGATGTTGTTGAAGTAACGGTATGACTTGTCCTTGTGCTTCTTGTCGAGCTCCCCGTTGTAGAAAGCATTGTAGTCGAATGGCGCAACTTTCGGGGCATCGGGACGGGGACCGGTGACGGTTGCACCGCTGGGGGCCTCGAAACGACCTTTGACACCGGGAAAGGCGGGATCGACTACGAAGCAAAGCAAAGGAGTCAGTCTGATGTGTCTAAGAATGGGAAGTATACAAATTACCTCTCTGAGAGTCCTTGTAGACATTGGGCGCAACGTCCGCGCCATTGCCCGAGGTCGAATGCAAGGCCCGCTTGGTGGGAGCCGAACGGAAGTACCTGGGATCCATACCGGCGACACCGGAGGTGAAGCGCTTGGTGTTGGCCAAACGGGCGCTCTGAACGGCCAGAGCCTTGCTCATGACGGGGCAGCGGCGGGCCAGAACCTGGAGGTTCGACATAGTGCCGCCTCCGGGGCTGATGTTAGGACGAGTGGCGGTGGACAGAGTGCGCAGAGTGGACGGGGAGGTGCGCTTGAGGAACGGGCACATGGCTCGAGACTGCTGGAGAAGCGACTCCATCGGGTGCGGTGCGGCCAAAGGGCGAAGATCACTCTCGATTGAATGGAAGGAGGAAAGATCCCCTGGTTGATTGGGAATGGACGGAATGGACTTGGGGTAGGAAAGAAGAGAAAACAGGAGGAGAGATGAATGGGGGAGAGGTGGAGTTGATAAGTTTTAAGTAAGAGGGAGTGAGTCTTCAGTGGGAGGAAGAGGGAGTAAGCCTGAGGGGGCAAAAGAAGATTCGACTGGCTGGGCAAAGGACGGGATTTGCGGTGCTGGTCCGCCCGCGACTTGGCGGCTTACTCAAGATGGAACGCGCTGACTGGACCGCGGCTGACGATTATACGGGGTCTGATTGGCTCCCGGGTCCGGGCTCGGAGAGGGGGGGTCGGAAGATGACTAAGAACTAATGCCAGTGTAATCTATTCAGTATGTAAATGGTCTCGGCATGGTCACGGCACGGTCACGGCACGGTCACGGGATGTACACAGTACTACTTAACTACTCCGTTCCGTTGTCAAGCGCCGGCTGGAACTCGGCTACTTTTCCGCCACACCCCCGAGCGCATTTGATTCCCTTCTTGGTCACTTACTGACATACATCGTAAGTCACTGAGTACTCCCAGTTTCATGCCATTCACTCGTCCATCCACCACTCCTGATCACAACGAAAGCAACCTTGAAGCAATTGAAAGGTACAGTACAAATCTCAAAGGGGTAAATTTGAGTAATCAGCCAGAAGATGAACAGTCAACAGTCAACCGTGAAGTTACCCCACACGCACTCCACTCCATCCTCGGAACAACAACAGATCTATCATGCCATCGCCGCCCTCATCTTCGGTCTGGCTTTTTTTTTTGGTGTGTGTAGAAGTCCATTCAACCATCCAATCCCTTTTTGTCTGTCTCGCGTAATCTTGCCCATTTTTCCCGCCCTCTGCTCATTATCTCCAGGGAATAACAGCCCCGTGCAAATATTTTCATACACCACCAAATGCATCTTGTTAATACAATACATAGTTCGGACAGGAAAATCCGCAACTGGGGTGAAAAGAAACATAAAAAACAAACAACAAAGAGGGCCGCGATCCGGTGTAAAAATCCCAATAAGTGTGTAAAGCTTCAACAACATCACAGGTGAATAAGAAAAGAAAGGAAGGTAGTAGATATCCCAACGCCGTCATTCCATCTCATCGTGCAACAGACCTCGTGGGCTGGATTAGCTGGGTCCGAGGCCCCCGTCGCCGTCAATGAGACGCAGCCGCTCTTTCGTCGTCTTCGCCCGTTTCGACGTGCCTTTGCCAGTCCCGCGTCCACGTCCTCGCTTGGGAATGGGCGTGGCCGAGGGCGTCCCAATATTGTCTGCTGCGGACACCGGAGTGGCAGCGCCAGAGGGTTTGGCACTGGCATCATCAAAGTTGCCCTCGCCTAGGAAACTCCGCGTTAGTTAATCGTTAGAGAATTGGATCGCAGAACGCCATACCTTCATGATACATATCATCCAGCGTGATATCTCTCTTTCTTTTCTGAGCGGCCTTCTTCCCACCTTTACTGGCACCAAACACCTCTCCACGGTCCATGGCTTCCTTTTCCTTCTGTTCGATGAGCTCGGCCTGCTCATCGTCCGCCAGCCACATAGCAATGTCCTTGGTCCGACTTTCCCGGTTGCGCGTGTTGAAGTCAACTCCACCAGCGGCACCACCCGTGATGACAACACGCTGCACCTCTTCCTTCTGCAACGCCCGCTTCCGAATCCGCTCCTCGATCGTGCCGCGAGTGATGAGGCGGTAGACCGTGACTTGCCTCGTCTGACCCAGACGGTGAGCTCGGTCCATGGCCTGAGAATCAATGGTCGGGTTCCAGTCCGAATCGTAGAAGATGACCGTGTCGGCGGCCGTGAGGTTGATTCCCAGACCACCCGCACGCGTGGATAGAAGGAATACGAAAATCTCCGGACGCTGTTGGAAGTCCGCCACAGTGTCACGACGATCCTCCAGCTTGGTGCTTCCATCCAATCGACAATACTTGTAATTGCGGTAGGTCAGGTACTCCTCCATCAGGTCGATCATACGTGTCATCTGGAAGTACAGTAGCACACGATGGCCACCGGCCCTGAGCTCGCGCAAGAGCTCGTCCAGCTTGGCCAGTTTACCCGAGTCTGTGACGAAGCGACGCATCGACGGTACCTCAATATGCGTGTATCGGCCCTTGGTGGAAAGTGGCTTGGGTAGCATGGGCTGCAGCGAGTAGGGTGTGGGGTCCAGCTTTCTTTCCACAATTTGCTGCTCCACCTGCTTCGAGGCAACGCCGTACAAAGCATGGCGCACGGCAAGATTAAAGAAGCTGTCTCTGGCCTCATATATGGGAATCTGGCTAGAACTCGTGATGGTGATTGGAGGCGCCGACGCTGCGGGGGTGGCAGATGGCTCAATCAGAGAAAGACCCTCTCGCTCAAACGTAGACTGGGAAACGGTCATCAAACCCCGCATGTAGCCCTCAGCTGTAACCTCGTTCACGGCATGACGATCGTTGCGGTCGACAACGTTGAGCAATGTATGAGGCAGGACTGAGGGGCCTGTTCGGTCATCGTCGTAAACAACCTTGAGCCGGGCCAGCCTGTTTGTTTGTCCACGGCGGCGGACAGCCCGCTCGAAGACTCCAGAATGTGACTGCTCGTAGGCCTCACCAGGAGATGTATCCACAAATCGCAGGAAAGAAAATGCCCCGTTTTCCCGAACACTCTGCTTGATATTATCAGGAGCGAAGATGTTCATCATGTGGTTAAGATACTTCCCACGGAAGCCGGCGTACGCATTGTCGGGCCCCGCAACATCGACGCGACCAGCAGATCCACAGAGCAGACGTGGCAACGGATACTCAATCAGGTTGCGGGTGGAGTAAGCGACATCGACGTTCTGGCCTTCTCTGACAAACGAGGCGGTTTCAGCGAAGTGCGCGACAGAGAATGGTGACTTCGTTTCAGCGCGCTCGAACAAATCCGGGTGGTTGCAGACCTTTCGGAACTGCATGACCAAATTCATCAGCGTTGTGCTGTCTGCTTCGTCTCCAACAGCGGCCTTCTCGATTAGGTCCATGATGCTGACCCGGTTGCGCAAGTTGGTATAGTAAGCGCGCTGGCGGTACGTAAGGTCGCAAAAGATGTCCTTCTCAACCTTGTCCCCAAGTTCCTGCTGCACATGCTTCTTGACACGGCGAAGCATAAAAGGCTTCAGAATCATGTGGAGACGTCTCAGCTGGTCCTCGTTGAGTTTGGTGTTACTCTGAGCATGGGACTCGATGTCCTTGGAGAACCACTCGCTAAACTCATCGTGAGAGTCAAACAGCGTGGGCATAATAAAGTGCAAAAGGGCCCACAGCTCCTGCATGTTGTTCTGAATAGGAGTACCTGTCAAGAGAAGACGGTTACGGCAGGAAAAGCCGAGCAGGTTTTTCCAACGGGAACTCTGAGAGGACTTGATGGCCTGGGCTTCGTCAAGAATCATGTACTGCCACTTGACCTTTTGGAAGTACTGTGCATCCAGAACCACCAGCTGATATGAGGTGACCAACACATGAAACTCGGACTCTTTTGTATATGTAATGTGCTTTCGATCCCAGAACTTACGGAGGATCTTGCGATCTTTGGCTGAGCCCCAGTACGGAAGAACCTTGATATCCGGGACGAACTTGGTGATTTCCTGCTGCCAGTTGTGCAGCGTAGAAGCTGGTGCAATGACCAAGAAAGGACCCCAGATATTGTGGACTTCAGCGAGGTAAGCCATGACTGAGATGGACTGAATAGTCTTTCCTAGACCCATCTCGTCGGCCAAGATACCGTTGATACCTTGCTCGTACAGGTTGACAAGCCAGTTAAGACCCTTGAGCTGGTACTCCTTGAGCTTGGCGGTAAGCATGTTGGGCTGAGAGATCTCGATATCACCCAAGCTGGTAGGGTTCTGGAAATTCAGTTCACCCTCATCCAACGCATCCATCCGGTTCTGGTCGTTGTTGAAGGCACGGGCTCGATCTTGAGCCTGCTGAACGGCATTTTGAGCGTTGGCCATGGCCGCCTGCCGCAAGGCCGTCTCGTCCTCGGCATCAAAGTCAAGATCTTCGAAGTTGGTAACCTTGGCACCAAGGTCGGCGACACTGGGAGGCATATCCACCGTGTGGGCTTGAGGTTTCCCAGGCTGGACAGTCTGGTCGGATCCATCCACGGCCGTGTCCCCAGACTCGTCTCCTTCTGCACCTTTGATCTTGCGGCCAATAAAGTGGGAGTACAGCTCGGTCTGGGAGATCAGGAAGTTGAGTTTACGTCTCTGACGGTTGGCTTCACGCTCGGCTTCCGCCTTCTTAGCCGACTCGATTTCCTGCTTTTCGGCAAGACGACGCAAATCGCGTTCCTCACGTTCGTTGCGCTTCCAGAAGGACATCATTTCACGCATTGTCCGTTTGGCACGGGCTTGAGTATCCTTCATGCTCTTGTTGGTGCGTTCCTGCCACTTGCGAGATTGCTTGCTAGCCAGCTGGGCTGTCTTGCGGAGGTTTTCCTGGCGCGTACTGAGAGACAGACCCTTGATGCGGTAGACCTTGGGGATGTCTTTACGAGCAATATCGCGCCAGATTTGCTCGTAAATCTGGTTGTAGCCCTTGGTCTCGAAGGCGGAGAGTGGCGTGGGCGTGGGCTCCTTGGATCGATTGCCTTTGGTCTCCTTCTTGATGGACTCCTTACGAGGGTCTTCTTTGGGCGCCAGAGGCAATGCCTCATCGTTCTCCATGGCTGCATACGCTGCTTCTGCGGCGTCCTTTTCAGCTTGTTTCTGCTCCTTCGACTTTTTGGGTCGCGTGACGGGGCCATTGCGTCCAGATTTGCGTCTCGAAGGAGAGTTCCGACCGATGTGGAAAGAACTGGTGGTGCCCCCTTCAAGGTTTGGCGCCAAGGGAGTCACCTCGCTAATCTCCTCGGGGGCAGTAACACCCTCCAGAGCTCTCTTGGTAGTCTTGATCTTGCGCTGAGCTCTCTCGGCTTCACGGAGGAACTTGGCCTTCTCAGCAGAATCCTGGGCCTCATTTGCCTTGAGCTCTGCCTCCAGCTTTTTCTGCATTTCCATGCGTACAGTATTCTCACGTCGCCGCTTTCGCTGCATATCCTTCTTGCGTTCTTTCTCGTCCTGGATCTCTTTAGCCTGTACTTCAGCGATAACGGATGCCTCGTTGGTGAGTCTGAATCGATCCATTCCGGCATCGGCTTGCTTCTCCAGGGACTTTGCGAAATCTCCCAAGAATTGGTGACGTCGTCGCTAAAGGTAGGTTAGCCTGCAAAGTACCCATGAATGAACGCATATTTCACAAACCTTGCGCCGAATCAGCTCAGTTTGCTCGGTGAGAAGGGCACGCTTCTTGCTTTTGGCCTTGTATTCCTGGTACTGTCTCTCATACCCTGGGCCTTCCACATCACTTTTGTCTGCATTGGCCATATCAACCATCGCGCGGTTGAGAGCTTCCACCTCCCCTTCTGTCAAGGGGTGGCGAGAAACAGCGCCGCGGGACGACGAAGAGGCTTTCGTCGACTCAGAAAGGCCATTCGCAACGGTGGAAGACCGTGAGTCGGACACTCTGGCCTCGTGGTCGACATTGCGACGGCGCTTCTCACTAGCGGGTTTCTTTTCTAATCTCGGTAAGGCCGGGCCAGAGGGCTCTCTGTCTTTGCTTTTGCTGCGAGCGACCGGGACGGGCGTCGTCGACGGTGGGTTTAGATTGTTCGTCGCGCTTGGTGCTGGCGCAATGGGGGTTGATGCGGGCTCAAGGGACGGCTGTTTCTTGGGTGGAGATTGTCGGGGAGGCGGAATGCGCTCTTCTGCTGGTCCAGCCAAGATGCTCGCAAACGACATGGGATCTGGTTTCTGGAGGCCGCAAGGAAAGTGATCATGATCAGCTATTGTGGACCAAGGAACATGCAGGAGAGAAAAAACAACAACATACGGTTTCCTTGGGAGGAGAAGAATGCCTAGTCTCTCGCATCATAGAAGATGGATACGGCGCGACTCCGTGGCCCCCCATGGGGTAAGGAGATTCTGGTTCTTTTTTGGGAGAAATTTGCGAATGGCTGTCGGGCCGACTAGAGGGATGAGCGTGGGAGGGAGTAGAATGACCGTAGGGGGTCGCGCCGTTGCCCGACAAGACGGAATTAGAGTAGGGCCGAGGCAGGGGGAACTGCGGCGTTCCAGCCGAGGAATGGGCCTGATACTGTGATGATGTATCCGATGGATGAGATGAAGGAGCGGCGCCATTCAACGGAGGCAGCGTGGCCGGTAACGGAGACGGCGCATGGGAGAAGTGAGGGCTCCTGGCCATGCTGGGCTGAGGGGGGAAGGCCGGCGGTGTCTGCGGCGGGTGCTGTTGATATTGGTCATTGTTGTTGGGGTAGAAGGGGCGGTTCTTGCTCGGAGAAGAATATGCAGAATAACGAGATTGCTGGGTAGGAGACTGAGGATTGTACGGCGGAGCTCCCGTCATGATTGCCGCGTGTGCCGGAGGAGTAGACGCGGCGGCGAAGGTGACGGACAGCAGTGATGGGGAGGGGAGAGAATGAGGAAATTTAGACCAAGGACCGTCGCGATGGACGAAGGCTGGCCATGCGCGAAGGGGATGGGGAGGTAGGTGGTCTTGGAGAGGTTTTAGCTCACGGAGATCTCGAGGTGAAGGGCGATCACGCGTCCGTCCGTTAGTTGTTCGCCGTCCAGCTAGAGTTCCCTGCGTGAAAAGGAATTAAATCTGAGTGGCTGACTGGAGGGGAGGAGTGGAGACAAGAAGACAGGGAAGCATGGAGATGGAGACGATGATGGGGGGGGTTGGGTGATGATGATGATTGAAAAGGAAAAGAAGGATGAAGAAAATGAGTGGATAAAGGGAGGATTGATTGCCTTACCGGATGAACAGGAATCTATCGGCGGTTGTTGGTGGAGGAGGAGGGTTTCTTGGTGAGGGAGGGAGGGAGGGAGGGAACAAGAGGAGTGAGCGAGCGAGCGAGCGAGCCAACAAACCCTCACGGATCAAACCGTTCCAGGCAACAGAAGCCAACTGTAAATTTACAAGTGAATAGATGACCAGAACCAGTTGAGCAATGATGCTGGGGGTTACGGATTTGAGGGATCAAGACCAGCTGCAATGAGCCGTGGAGGAGACCCACGAGGGGCGAAATCTCGCCAGTTTGTTCCCGTGGTAAGAGGCTTTGTGGTGATAGCCGTCTAGATAGTAAGATAGAAAGGACTGGTGGAGGAGGAGGAGGAGGTGGTGGTGGTGGTGGTGGTGCATGTATTGTCTGTATGTATATAAAGGTGTTTGGATAAAGTGAACTAAGGCAGTGAATGACGGGGAAGGCAGGGGAAAAAAAATGGTGAAGGCTAAGAGAAGAGGCTGTTATGGTGGAAGATTGCAACAATACTATTGCCTTTCTCTGACTCTCTTCTTTTCAGCTTCATTGAGCCAAAGGCTCGTCTCCAGAGAGTGAGTGAGTGAGTGAGTGAGGGAGTGACTGCTCGTTCCTGCCTATTCAGGTAAGCTTGCCTCGGTATGTGTATTTCACTTACGTGAGATTCCATACCACTAGTAATTAGTTTCATCCTGTGGGGAAGACAGCTCAGGAACTACGCCCGATCTCCGCATACGCCGCGATCTGCGATATATGAGTAATGAAAGCCAGTCTGATATCAAGCCATTGGGCGCGTTTTGTAACTTGTCTCCAGCGCACTCACTGTGACAAGAGCCTCGTTGTTCAAGTAGAACAGAACTTTTCGAGGTTGAGTTTCGCCATCCAGCTCCGGTCTCGCCGTGTCCATCGCACCGAGTCATTGTAAGGAAATGTTGTCTTGTTACCAGTACGAAACCACCCAGATGTTCACCTCAATGTTCTCTAGATACCGTGCATTGTACACTAGGTTCGATCAGAGATGCGTATTGAACATATTGTACATGAACCTCTAACGATCTCGAGCGATTGACTCCCACTATGCTGGTAAGTCATTGGCAGCCAGTCAGTCATCGGGATTTTCGGGAGCAAACAGCGGCTGCATGACATTCAACATTACGCGCATACGGCGAGCTACATAGAGAGAGAGAGAGATTATATGTATATGGGTGGATGCGGGAGATGGTGACTTGTACAGGATAACACGACCGTCTTCAAGAAGGCATTGACAGACTGATTAATTGTATAGTACAAGTACAAGTACTTCGGACCGAGCCAAGAATGATATGAAGTCAGGTGGCTGCCCAGGAGGTCCTCAATCAGTCGCCAGTCAAGGTATATAAGATGGGCTTTTCATACAAAAAAAAAATAAGTTCAAATTGGCCTACTTAACTTATAGGATATTACTCTTATCTTGGACCCCCCTTCCCCAGGCCCCATTCAGTCAGGCCTGAGGCGCCACTGGCACCACTGACTAAGCGTGAAATCCGAACGACCCGCTCGGACTTAACTTACCTTCCCCAAACCATCTGCCTCAGTCTTGGACATCTTCCAAAGAGGGGGCGATTGCATCCCACGATTTCCCCGCGGTGTTTCTCCCAAGAGCCGAAATCTTGAACTTGAAACGAGAGCCAAGCAGCGTGGGGGAGAGATCCGATCCAACTTGGGCGAAGACCACGAACGGAGGGGGGGGAGGAGAGGAGAACTTGACCTAATGCAATATCGGGGTCTGATAATGTTCTCAGTCACAGTTGAGATGCGGAGACAAATCTCGATCAATCGGTGATGACGTCTACATGTTCCACTTTCGTTTTCTGCCATCAACCTCATGTCCCATGTGTTTTGAACTGGACCAGAAAGAAAGAAGAAAAAAAAAAAAAAAAAGATGATTGACAATCTGAAACCAGCATGGAGCATGAAATCAGTTGCAATGCAACCACCGAGTATCGCCAGTGGAGAGAATCGGGACAGGACAGGAGATCCTCGGGAAATGTCCTCGTATCGTCCCTGTCTCTCTGGGATGAGCACGACCACAAGGATCGGGATCCCAGGTTTACAACCTCCGCATCCGGGTTGCTCCTCTCGTCCGATTGTCTGTCTGCCTGGTGTCAACAACACACCACTAAATCACGACGTCACTTTGATCGCTCGCTTCGGCCGGGACGGAATCACCCCACCTGCCATTCATTCACTGACCTGCCTGTCCTATTCCCAAACCATGATGAACCACAACTAGAAAAATGTGAATGGTCAGGTTGTTGCGCAGGGTCCAGGGTCTCATTGCCTGTTGTCCCTAGAAATCCTATAAATCCTGTCCTTTCTCGCTCTCTTGCCCCTCTCACTCACTCACTCACTCATTCAAGTAACACAGCTTCCGCTTCCGCTTCCACGTTTCCATAGAATCTTTACCAACCCCCTTCCTCTCCATCCACTACACCTCCCAACGAAGAAATGTCTTCCCCTCCCGAGATCCCCGAGACCCAATGGGCCCAGGTCGTCGAAGAGAAAGGCCACCCGCCCGTCTACAAGCAGATCCCCGTGGGCAAGCCCGGCCCGGACCAGATCCTCGTCAAGATCCGCTACACGGGGGTCTGCCACACCGACCTGCACGCCATGAAAGGCGACTGGCCGCTGCCCCTCAAGCAGCCGCTGGTGGGCGGCCACGAGGGCGCCGGCATCGTCGTGGCCCGCGGCGACCTCGTCACCGAGTTCGAGATCGGCGACCACGCCGGCATCAAGTGGCTGAACGGCTCGTGCCTGGCCTGTGAGTTCTGCAAGCAGGCCGACGAACCCCTCTGCCCGCACGCCGAGCTGTCCGGCTACACCGTCGACGGCACCTTCCAGCAGTACGCCCTGGCCAAGGCCAGCCACGCCTCCAAGCTGCCCAAGGAGGTGGCCCTGGACGCTGTGGCCCCGATCCTCTGCGCCGGCATCACCGTCTACAAGGGCCTGAAGGAGTCCGGCGTGCGGCCCGGCCAGACCGTTGCCATTGTCGGGGCCGGCGGTGGCCTCGGCTCGCTGGCGTTGCAGTATGCGAAGGCCATGGGACTGCGCACCATCGCGATCGACGGCGGAGAGGAGAAGAAGGAGATGTGCCACAAGCTGGGCTCGGAGGTAAAACAAGAAAACCCCCGTCCCCGTATTCTTCTTCTAGAACAAGAGAATCGCTAACGAGAAGAAAACCCCCCAGGCGTACATCGACTTCACCACCTCCAGCGACATCGTCGCCGACGTCAAGGCCGCCACCCCGGAGGGTCTTGGAGCTCACGCCGTCATCCTCCTGGCCGTGGCCGAGAAGCCCTTCCAGCAGGCGACCGAATACGTGCGCTCGCGCGGCAGTGTCGTCGCCATCGGCCTGCCCGGCAACGCCTTCCTGCGGGCCCCCGTCTTCAACACCGTCGTCCGCATGGTCAACATCAAGGGCAGCTACGTCGGCAACCGCCAGGATGGCGTCGAGGCCGTCGACTTCTTCGCCCGCGGCCTGATCAACGCCCCCTTCAAGACGGCGCCATTGAAGGACCTCCCCAAGATCTTCGAGTTGATGGGTATGTTCTGTTTGCCTCTCTCCGCCCCTTGCTTTTCGAATGTGCATTCGACAGACGTCATGACTAACACACCGTGTCCCCCATAACAGAACAAGGCAAGATCGCTGGCCGGTATGTCCTCGAAGTGCCCGAGTAAATGCATTTTCTCGATACACGCCTCTCTCGCTGGACCGGGATAGTATCCGTTTTACGAAGGTGACGATGAGACCTCTCTACCTTTCCTTTCTATTTGTCTCTTAATTTCTAAACCGCCCCCTCCTCCCTCATGCATTGCTAAGTTCATGAGGCGTCAATGGGGTCTCCGACGATGTAATGTACCACAGCGTTTGCAAATCAATTTCCTAGCTATGTGATTCTCTGGCCTCTTGAACTGGCTTACAGTATCTTGAACCTTGCGTCTTATCGGTACCTTGTGCGATAACCAAACGAGCAAAGCAGAGGCATTCCATTGGAGTCCCTGCTAAGCACAAAAGCGAGAAATCTCTCGGAAAACGGGTTACAAGCCATTGAGAAGGAAAAGGACTCAAGCAGGGTTACCCTTCTTCTCCTTCTCCTGCTCTTCTCCCTCCCCTTCCTGCGGGAGCCTCGTCTCGGACGGACTAGTCGACTCTCCCACGGTCGTCTGCGGGCCCTTGTACACCTTGCGAGCATAGACCGCATAGTAAAGCAGCGCCCCGAGCCACAGGGCACCATTGATGACAATAGTGTAATTCATATTCGCAGCTAATTTAGCACAGGTTGCGCAGTAACGACAGTCAGCCCGGAATCCAGCCATCCCCCCCCCCCCCCCCCCAAAAAAGGTAAAGGGAAGAAACTTACGGGTCGGGTTTGGTCCTTCGGTAGGAAACATGCTCAGCACGATAGCAAAAGCCAGATACACGATCGCGGTGATTGCGATGGGTTTGCTCAGCCGGCCCGTGTAGAACTCTCCGGGGTGAAACCGGTCCTGGCCCCAGACGAGCCGCGCGAGAATCGGGACCATCCAGGCGAGGTCGTTGCCCGCCACGGCGAGAGAGAACAGCGCGCTGGCCGCGGCGTTGTCGATCAGACAGAGCAGACCGAGGATGATGGCTATCACGACCACGGCGCAGACCATGCGGACGGGTTGAAACCGGATGCGTTTACTGACGTGGCGGAAGAAGGAGGAGAAAGGGAGACCGCTGTCGCGAGAGAAGGCCCAGCTCTGACGGGAGGCGGCGACCACCTGTTTGTAGGGTTCCGCGAAATGGGGTCAGTTGAATGTGCTCGTATCGTTGTCGCGGTTTTGGAGGAGACCGAGTGAACTCACAAGACTCAAGCCCATGAAGAACTGGACAACGGCTACCACAACCATGAAGCCGAGCGCGCCACTTTTCCCGAGGGAGTCATAGTAGATCTACAGGCCGCACTCGCTTAATATCGGCCTCGATTGACAGAATAAATAGGGAAACCCACCTGTGCCATGGGTTGTCCGAACTTGGAGTCGAGGACCGCCGTGAGATCGACGTCGATCACAGCTGCCATTACCGCCAGCGAGACAAATCCCAGCAGACCACACAGACCCGCGGACCAGACAATCCCCAGTGGGACCGCTCGCGCAGCATGGGTGGCCTCCTCACTCATATGGACACAGGAGTCAAACGCCCCGATGGTCCAGATGGGCGACATCCACGCGATCATGAAGCTCCAGCCCTCAGGCCAAGTGGTGAGATTCTCAGCATGGCCGAAGACATAGGCACCCGGGTTGATCTGCCCACCGCGGACTGCCTTCCCAATCGGCAGTGCCAGAGCAGTGACACAGACCAGACCCACGTTGAGGATGATGCAGACAGACTGGATTTTAGGCATCACGCGCGCAAAGAAGATGGCAATCAGGCCGTGCACGACGACGCATGCGACATACGTACCGTAAAGGGCCGGACGGGAAGCAGTCCACTCGCCATCGCGCGCTATGGAAACAATAGCTAGCAGCATGGTAGCAAACCCATCTTATCCTCCGAGTCAGTCCCAGGCCGAAGCATACCACGAGGATGAAGGGTACCGCTTACAATCTATAGAACAGACACCACCGACAAGCCCGATTGTATTGCTGTATCCAACGACAAAGCTTAGGGGATTCTTCCATTTCTCTCCGCTGAAGTAATGGGTCCAAAAGTAAAGACCGCCGGCGGTAGGCATCGCAGACGCTAGATCGGCCTAACTGACACAGAGTTGTAAGCGTCCGACTAGAACAATGGGGACAAGAAAGCTGAGAGAGAGGCGGACCATAGCCAAAGCCACTATAAAGATGAACACACTCGCAGCAAACCAACCTAGGATTCCTGTCAGACCATTGCCTAGAGCACATCACACTGTACTATCACGAGACACCGTACCCTGCGGTGCATTAGCCACAAGCTTCATCTAGCCGAGTAAGCAGAGCAAGAGGAGCGACGTACCCAAACCATGCCCACAGGTCCAGCAGGAATGGAATACGATAAGGTGGATGCGATGGACGGCAAGAGTCCCATTATACTGAATGCAATTGCGAAGACCTGTACAGTCGAATAGTGTCTGCGCAGCTCCTGCTTGTATCCCAGGGCCGCTGGTCTCGTCAGCATAAGACACACGAGACCGACGATAAGCAAGCGTACCTAAAAGCTGCATATCGCCGTGTTCAAGCGAGGGCTCCTCGCTCACGGCTGGCGTGACTTTAGACATGGAGTCCATGTCTTGGGACTTCTCCGCCATGGTGACAGGATTCTGAACGTCAACGCAGCAAATGAATGGACTATACTTTCGAATGGTCGATAGCGCAGAGGAGACGCAACGCTACTTATACCAACCGACCCTTGCATATTGCATCACTTCATCAATCGTTGTTTTATTCTCCGATAAGCAACGACCGGCGGGGACCATTCACACTTCCGCCCAGACTCCAATGGCGCATGCGACACGGACAGGCAGGGTTCAGCCATAGCGGTTGTTATCATCACCTTATCGCTGGGAGGCCGATCAGGGCAGAAAGTGGCCAATGTGAAAGCCTGCTGGACTGATAAGCTGCCGTGTGGTGCTTTTATAGTGTCTCTTGAAAGAGTAAAGTCAACGAGGGGGGAGCGGAGGAGGAGGAAGAAGAAGAAGAAGTGGAAGAGACGAAAGGGTTAAGGGTAGACGGGACTTAGGCATATCATATCGCACATGATAATTGGCCCTCCCCTTCCACCACTTCGCTCTTCTAAGCTGGAATTGATCTAATCCATGATGAATCATGAGCCAAGTTAATCAGCCAACAACAGCTCGATATTACAGTTGGTTCACCACTGAGGCTAGCCTAATGGTTCGAACATTCTTGAGAAATTCAACTAGTAGGAAGTGGTATCTAGGTAGGAAGTAGTACAAGTAGTAGTTGTAGTAAAAGGCGACTGTCCCATCTACCAATTCTCCGTCTCCGTCTCCGTCTCCTTGCGCGTAATAATAGCTGGAGGCCTCCCCGGGGGTAACCAGACCCAGCCCAGATATGCCAATGGGAAAAAAAGAAAATGGAGGGCAAACAAAATCAGATCGAAGAGGCACGAATGAATCACAAACACACACCGGTAGACCGCACCCAATATATAGCACATATATACAGGTGACGCCAAAATCAATGGCAATAGCGGCAGCTACGCATAAAACTCGCTTCATTCAAACTGCACCGGGTCCCTTGTGATTGGACTGATCTAAAAGAAGTCGGGGTTTGATGTAATCCTCATCCAGCTGTCGGAACCACGCCGCGTGGTCTCCCGATGCACCCGAGAAGAGGTCCCGGATGGCCGCCCTTGCGCTCAGTGTTGTTTCGCGTCGCATAGGAGAGGTAGTCGCCGGAGTTTGATCCTGGGATCCTCCCACATACTGCTGGGGTTGCGAGGGAGACCGCCGCAGTCGAGACGTAGGAGCCGAAGGGGGGAGGTCGTCATCCGAAGGTTCATCACCCACATCGAGATCGAAGGCATCGAGCTGATCGGCGTCTGTCGCACGACCCTTGCCATTATTCTTCAATCCAAATTCATCCTCACTTGCCGCGCTGCTCTCGCTGTGGCTCCGAGGCCGGCCACCCAACAAAGTGGCCGTCGAGGACCGGTCACGAGCAGTGTCTCGCTGACTGTAGGCATTCGAGTACATTCGGGAATGTCCTCGAGAGCCAGACGGCGGAGGACT